TTTTTTTGAACCATTTTGTATGATTTATTCATACTTGGTAGATAAAGTTCATTTATCTACTCACTGAATCGAAAATAGGCGTTTGCTCCCTCATTTGAGGAAACAAAGTTAACAGTTTACTCCCACGAGAGGAAAAAGATATTAACTCCCGTGGGAGGTAAAATAAATTGGCTTCAGCATGCATCCTTTGGCGTCGATATACAGGGTGGGCCACCAGTAACGCCTCGGTCTCTAGAAGGCTCACTTATCTTCTTGGGATTCTTCCTCTCTAGGAAGTTGCATGTCAACATAGGCTACCATTCGAAATTATTTTGAAACATACAGGATGTCCCCAAAAATCACAAAACACGACTGAAGTTGAACTTTTTTCAATCGAACACCCTATATATTATTTCATTTTGAGATTCTCCCTGGTGAGCTGATTTCAATAATCCATCATACTTGGGGTCTAGCAGTTATAATTACTGAGATATAGGGTGTGAGAAATCGAGATTTTCCAAGTTCAAGAATTTTTTGTGTCTAAACCATTCATAATTGGTCAAAACGGCTCACATGTCCCTATCTCAACTTTTGATCAACTATCTACTGACATTTAATTGAAACAAATACAGGGTGGTGCAGAATTCAGAATTTTAATCACCCGATATATGTCCCAATTAAATATCAGTAGATAGTTAATCAAAAGTTGAGATAGGGACATGTGAGCCGTTTTGACCAATTATGAATAGTTTAGACACAAAAAATTCTTGAACTTGGAAAATCTCGATTTTTCACATCCTATATTTCAGTAATCATAACTGATAGACCCCAAGTATAATGGGTCGTTGAAATCAGCTCATCAGGGAGAATCTCAAAATGAAATAATATATAGGGTGTTCGATAGAAAAAAGTTTAACTTCAGTGTTTTATGGTTTTTGGGGACACCCCTGTATGTTTCGAAATAATTTTAAATGGTAGCCTATGTTGACATGCAACTTCCTAGAGAGGAAGAATTCCAAGAAGATAAGTGGTTAGCCTTCTAGATACCGAGGCGTTACTGGTGGCCCACCCTGTATATAAAATCTTTGCAATCCAAGTAATCAGTATCTTTATCACTATCATGAAACAAATAACAATCATATCCTTTTTGAATTCCAATGATATCATCAGATATGCTTCTTCATATTCCGAACGTCGTACTTCTTATCAAAACTTTCAAATGCAGTTACACAATATACAAATCAATTAATTCATGATGACAGAAGTGTCACATTGACTTTTGTTCAAATGCCGTCGACTGTCCATGGCATACTATACCTTTGTAATGCATAATGATGGATCGAGAGATAGACGGCCTGAAGCACAACACACAAAGAATGATGCTTTGAAAAATGCGTTCGTTGATAAAAGCATTTATTTTCCTACCATGTGTGTTTAATGCCCTCCGCTACGCGTCGTGCATCAAACTTCACACGCGGGAGGAAATGGATACCTTTCCTCCCTTGATAGATAAATAGCTATAATATTACCCATAAAAACTGAATGAAAAATGAGATCGGAATCGTGTTTAGGACAAACAGAAAACTTCTTTTATTTCAAAGACAACATGGAACAATTTTGTAGATTTGTATAGATATCTGAAAAAAAAAACGGAAAAAATACATGAAGTGTCCTACTGCTTACGAGGGCGCAATCAAATGTTTCATTATTATTTTTCAAGTATGCAGCTGCATTTCAAGGCATTTTTATTGAACTCGTGCAAAAAAAATTAAATTCTTGTAGCATAGAATCACTAGAGGGTACGTGATATTATTGGTAACATTAAGGTAATATAGTTGGTAATTGTGTTGTGTTGTTACATTTGTTCCATTGAGTGTTCATAAATATTCCTTAACACAATAACCCCAATATACAGGGTGTTATTTTATTGATGGCTGAAAATGAAGAATTAGGTTTCTCAGCTCATTTTAAGAAGCAAAGTACATATTAACATATGCCCTGAACCTCTTAACATTCGAGCTATAGGGTGTTGAAATTTTAAGAATGAATGCGTTTTGTTAATATATCGTTAATACTGTTCTAGATATTTTCATGAAATTTGACATATGCACCTACTGAGCACCAATAGGCATTTTTTGATGCAGATGATTTTTCATTATTTCTACCAGTGGCGTCCGTTTGGAATGTATCCTGGAGATTTTGATAAAAAAAGGTTGATTTCGATTTTTCCAAGAATAAAACTCTTGTTTGAAATCCTCATTTATTTTGCAACAATTTAACTTCTAGAATTTTTTTCGTCCGACAGAACCGTTTCCGCGTAAAAAAATAAAAACCTTTGTTATGCATTTGTGGCATAACGAAATTATTCTGAACTAAATAGGCTAGTGCCGTATTTCGTTTTCAAAATATTGACATTTGATCGATTACGTTGCGTTCTTATTTTGAAAAGTATCCATAAACGTGGCAGTTTTTTACATTGTGAATAGTTTCTTTTCAAAAAAGAGATAATGAAATTTTAAGACCCTATTTTTCGAAAGTTGAGATGTTTATGGCATATGTTCATGTGAACTTTTTTTTTAAATGAGCTGAGGAACCATATCCTAAATTTTCAGCCATTAAATAAATTACACCCTGTATTTATATAATGATATAATAACCTTATGGTTACCAATAATATCACACTATATATATGAGGTATTCATGAACTGTCAGAAATTCAGAATGTTTTGCAAAGCCTATACTTTATCACCAAATATGCGACTCTAATGAAGTTGAAATTCAAAGACTGTTATCGTTTTATATGAAAATACGATTTTTCTTTAATAAGAATGCTACAGAATGGGGATGAAAAATAATGAAATATATCTGTCAAATTGGATGCGCGCTCGTGAAAAGAAGGTTACAAACTCAGTCATTTCTGTGGAACACCGTAGAAAAGTTGGCGATCTGGCTCTATTTTATAGATATTTTCATGGACGATGCTCTTCTGATATAACAACAATTGTTCCTTCCTTATTGGCAGTCCCCGCGAGATTAACACGTCGAGTTGAGGCTTCGCACCCCTTCGTGGTCACTTTAGAGACCAGCAGAACATCTCTTTCGAAAGACTCGTTCATCCAACGAACAGCGAGGCTCTGGAACACATTACCAAGGGAAGTCGTGTTCCCCGAGGCATATTTTACCTCCAGAAATTTAAGAAAAAACATCAATTCCTACCTTATTTCCCTTGGTTCTCACGATGTTCTCTGAACATTACAGGATATCCCTTTTCGTGGGAACCAGAACATAAAAAAAAACTTAATTCATTTTTTTCGTTCTTTTCAGACCTGAAAACAGATCTATATATACAAAATTTTGCTATACAGATTGTTATTTTCGAAATGGAAGAAGTTTTTTGTTTATCCTAGAGATTTTGGCTAAAAGGATCAGTGAGTTTGGCATATCACACCCCAACAATGCTCTTCTCTGGATGGATTCTAAGAGCATCGATCAGCGTATAGGTTTGGGTGCTGAACCCCATATATGTGAGAACAGTATTCTAGAACAGGCCGTATCTGTGCTTCATATTGTAGATCATGAGAAGCTATATCGAGCTGTGAAGTAAATTTTTCTCCAAGCGGCAGGGGAAGTGGATTTTCTCTTTAGGCAGCAACAGTTTATTGCTATGCAACGTTCCAAGAAATTTGAATGTAATTGGGTGATCAAAATTGACCCTGAAATTGGGTGAACACAAAACGATGAAGTTTTCAATAAAAAAATTACACAAAATTGCTCTTATAACATTTACAGAAAAAATTATATGTATTAACACAGCAGTAAATGTAGATTGACAGCCGCAGCTGAAATCCTATCCTCGCTACGCTCGGCTATGAACTATCAGCCGCGGCAGTCAATCTACTATATTGGAATATTATTCATGGAGTATTTCATGAACATACACCAACAGAATATTATTCATACCTAAATGTTCCCCAAACAATCTTACTAGAATATATTCTGAAAATATTGACGTTTATATTGAATATTATTCCTTGTATATAATTTTGGAATATTACTGGAATATTCACATTGGAATATTCCTGCTTGGATGTATCAGGCGCATATGTATATATTCTAGTATTATTTGGAAAATATTCTTCCTTTTTAGCATATGTAGACTATATTCCAGGAATATAATAGTTATTTTTGAATTTCCCGCCAATGAATGAAACGTTACATAACCATGGAACTTAGAACGAATTTAGCTTAGTGGTTATGGTGCGGTCACAGATTAACGTTAACGCGGTCCCAGTCCTGCCTGATTTATGATTTGTGAAAATTGAAGTGTTGTAATCTGTGGCCCTGTGGCCCCTGTGCCACCTGTGGTGTTCTATGAAAACAAAACAAAAACGGATGACAAAAGGCAAACAAAAAACAAAAACAAAACCTCAAAAACATGTGACAAAACAAAGTGTTGTGAATAATAATAGTACTTTAATAATAGTTTTTCGAGTTATTTTTCCATCTTCATCCGATGTTTTCATTTTATTTTTGAATCGAAAACATTTACAGTGAGGAAATCCAAGTTGCACGTTTATTTCAGTAGTTGCAGGAAGTGCACAAAAGATTCTTTCAACCATGTTCGATAACTGGTTTGCTGCCATAAAGAAACACACCAACAACCTCAGTGATGCCATAAAAACTAAATCGTTTAAAATTTCCAATAACCTAAACTCTTTAAAGAACAATTTCTCATACAAGGGAAAAACTACCTATTATACAATTACCAGAAAAGAAGAGGACCATTATGAGAATGACTATTTGTCCCCAAGGGCTTATTCAATGACTACCTTCAGCATGGATTACAATGCTGTCAACGAAAATATGGAGTGGTTTCCCTATGTGCCCCCTTCATATGATGAACAAAACATAGTTGATAGATTTATTAGAGTTATTACTATTAATGATGACAATGTTATGGATGTGAGTGATTTTCTTCCCTATAGAGAAGGGCTGGTTTTTAAAAAAGTTTCATTTTTCAGAGGAGGACAGACAGAGAAGAAATCAGGCGTAGACTGGCCACAGGTTCAGAGGAGGAGTTTTACTCAGACAGACCTGGAAGAAAACCAAGTCTGCAAGCAAGACTGCAAAGTGGTATGTTGTTTTTTATCTTTAATAACTGGGGGTATAACTGTCTGTATCTACTCAAAATGTGGAGTAGAATCACTCAATGCCCAGAAAACTTGAAATTTGGGTAGGCAAGCTACTTAACAGTTTAACATTGAAGCTCTTATGTACCTATTATCTGACAATTACATGTTGATTATTTTTTTTCACTACCTATAGTTCTTGCTTTAGGTGAAAGTATTAATAATATAATAATTAATTATATTATTTGGTAGTTATCTATTTGTTTCAAGTATATTTGTGATTGCATGTTGGATAAGTAATTGAGAAAGGAGATAGAGGTATACTAATTCAGATGTTAATAGAAACAGTGGGTACAGATTTTAAAATCATGTAGCACATAGTGTTTATGTGTGTATCTGATACCAAAAGTAGGTACCTACATTACCAATCATTTCAAATCTGCATATACTAAGATTTGGCAGTAGGTAGTAGGTGAAGTAGTAGCTCTAGTAGTAGGTACTGTTGAGTGAAAGTTTATTTATTGCTGAAAATTTCATGATCAGATAATAACTTATGTTGTATCAAGAAATAGTTATTCTTCTTCAAATGTCTTTAAAATTGGCTTCCCAATGACACTCAACAGGCAGAAAAGGTGTACTTTCTCTGTCTGAGCAGAAAAAGTAATAATTTGAATCAAATTCATAATCAAAATTGACAATGACTGGGTGAACACAAAATGATGAATTATTTGGACTTTGTGTGAAATTGAAACAAAATTGAAGAAAAAATCATATGTTTCACATGGCAGAAAACCAGATTTGATGCCTTGGCAGATTTCCTAGCCTAGGCTATGCCTTGACTATGAAATGCCAGCTGCAGCATTAAATCTGGTGCTTTTCTGCCTAGTAAAACAAAAAACTATCCAATCTTACTGAACTTTTGATTATTACATATTGCCCTTGTTATTTTCCATTGTCCTGGTTATTGTCCATTCAAATTCAACAAGCTATTACAGGAATTTAGACTGATGCCTTCATTTTTGACAGATCTTTTTAACCAAATTGATGAAAACATCAAGGGCCAGTTTCATGAAGCTCTCTATTGACTTTACAAGAGATCAACTATACTATCTGTAGGTTGATCCAGGAGGATCAATATGTATGTGTAATGAGGACAGATCAGGTGATTTGAACCAAAATGTCACTGCATTTCTCTGAAAAAAGTAAAACTGGAAAGTCCACCAATTCTATTGAGATGTCTATGCTGGTTATCTCCATCAGTAATTCTCTTTCATGGAAAAATCACGTCAAATCCATTGCAGAAGTTGAATCACAAAAATTTGTGAAAATTCACATTACACCTCAACAGTTTTTTATGGTCTTCCAAGAAAAGATTCGGCCCGTTTTAGAATACTGTTCAGCACCCAATCATATGCTGATGCTCTCAGATTCCATTCAGAGACAAACCATATATTCATCCGGTTGGTGATGCCACAGTCACAAATTCCTTGACAATATAGAAAAGTCGGCTTCCTTTCATATTTCTTTAGATTCTTCCACGGGAAATGTTTTTCAGAAATCTCGAAAATAATTCCATTACTACTATTACTACAATATCAGACAATTCAGCACATCCTTTTGATATCAACTTCGAGATATGTTGACTAACTCATTATCAAAACCCATTTCTCCATGCAAGCGTTGAAAGTATTTTCCAAAGGAAGTACCCTCATGAAATTATCAACAGTAATTACACAAGTGGTGGTGGTAATTTTTTGATATTTTCAAATAGATGCACGAATCTTTGTTGCTATAGAAATATGACAAGTGGATGAAGTCTACTAGTGGAATTTCTCAATAGCAACAAAGACAAGTGTTAATCTAGTTGAAATTTAAAAAAAAATACCACTACGAATGTTATTTGGTGTGATTATTTTTTCAACTATTTCGCAAAATGACCAGCGGAAACGAACATTTTTCAGCCACACACTTCGGTTTTGCGTAATTTTTGTTGAAACAGACTTGTTCGTCGAAGATCCAAACGTGAAAAAATTATTACTGTAATTTGCTAATAACAAATTATCAGTATGTAACCAAATGATTAGCTAGAATTCAGCATTGATATTGGTTGAAACAACGAGAACGTCACATTTTGACATGTGAAAAAAAAAATCATCAAAAGTTGAAAAAAAAATCCAACACCCATTTTCTTTCCCTGTCCTCCCTTGGTATGCGTACGATGTTCCTCAAACATTATAGACATTCCCTTTTGTGCTCCCCAAATGATTTTATAAAAGGAATTGAAATTGGCGTTCCATTGATTGGAATCACAAAATTTCAAATCGACGTACAAAATAAAACAAACGATTCGATAAATTGAATCATTCCCTGTATTATACAAAGAAAGTATATCACCAAGTCGGTCGACCACGCAAAATTCTATGATAGACGTGTTCCTACTTTCAGTTGAACAATTGAAATAGTTTGTGTCTGATGATGGTTAGTGTTCGAAACTAATCTGTTCTAGAATTTTTGGTGGTTGAATTGGTTCGTTTGATTTCGTTTATTTCAAATATAATTGGACTGCTCTGAGAAGAATTCATGGTTTCCAAGATTTTGTTCCCTTCAGTTCAAAGATAAACATCTCACCCCTCACCAGCTCAATACAGTTACTCCCTATAGGGGTCGTGATTTGTATTCACAATAAATGAAGAATAAGAGATTGTTGTTGTATTCATTGTGTATGTGATGTTGGCACACTTGCTCACACAATATTCTCCTCTCACAAAAAAAAACTAATTTGAACTGGCGTTTGATTGTTTGAAATAACCAGATGGTGAAACCTGCCTAAATGATAACTACCTAGAATTCATTTTCATTTCATTGACACCGATAAACAACTCAAGCATCTCTTGTATCCCATTCCAGGTATAATCCTGCAGATCTGTTCCAAGAACAATTCGCTACCGGACACGGACAGCCCCACTTCCGATTCGGAAGTGCCCGCCATCACCCCCCACCTACTCGAGATCAATACCCCCAACCCTTTGCCATCTGCCCGGTTCGACGGCAACTAATATAGAGAAAAGATGTTCTTCAAAGTCTTTATATTCTTTGTGTATGTGGGGTTGGCACACTTGCTCACACTAGTTATGCCATACTGCCTACTCACAAAATAAAATTATATTTTTGACATTTTCGTAAATAGATATTTTGAACTGGCGTTTCATTGTTTGAAATAACCAAATGTCAAAACCTACCTTGTATCCCGTTCAAGGCATAAATCTGCAGATCTGCTTCATGAAAAAGTCTCTATCAGACACGGACAGACCCACCTCCGATTCGGAAGTGCCCGCCATCTCCCACCTACTCGACACCGTCCCCCTAGCCCGTCGCCATCTGTCCCGCTCGACGACAACTAATATAGAGGATATTCTTGAGAGTTGTCATATTTATTGTGTATGTGGGGTTGGCACACTTGCTCACACAGGTTACACAATATTCCCCACTCACAAAATTGAATTCGATTCCATAAATTGTGATTCTATTGTTTGAAATATCCAAATGTTCATTTAATTGACACTGATAAACGACGTGAATCTCTTGTATTCCGTTCAAGGCATGAATCTGTAGATCTGCTTCATGAACGAGTCCCTATCGGACACGGACAGTCCCACCTCCGATTCGGAAGTGCCCGCCATCTCCCCCCACCGACTTGACACCGTCACCCCCACCCCGTCGCCATCTGTCCCGCTCGACGACATCAAATATAAGGGATATTCTTGAGAGTTTTTATATTTATCGTGTATATGGGGTTGGCATACTTGCTCACACTAGTGACACAATATTCCCTACTCACCAAATTGAATTCTATTTTTGGCTCTTTTGTAAATAACTTTCGAACTGGCGTTTTATCACAGTTGAGAGTAAATAATATGATTCCATAAACTGTGTTTCTATTGTTTGAAATAACCAAATGTCCATTTAATTGACACTGATAAACGACGTGAATCTCTTGTATCCCGTTTAAGGCATAAACCTGCAGATCTCCTTCATGAAAAAGTCCCTATCAGACACGGGCTGCCCCACCTCTGATTCGGAAGTGCCCGTCCATTCAATTGACACTGATAAACGACGTGAATCTCTTGTATCCCGTTTAAGGCATAAACCTGCAGATCTCCTTCATGAAAAAGTCCCTATCAGGCACGGGCAGCCCCACCTCCGATTCGGAAGTGCCCGTCATCTCCCCCCACCGACTTGACACCGTCACCCCCAGCCCGTCGTCATCTGTCCCGCTCGACGACAAGTAATATAGAGCCTACTATGTAATATTGAAATACTAAATAAAGTCGATTATTATTATTATTATATTCTTGAGAGTTTTTCTATTTATTGGGTAGGTGGGCTTGGCACTGCTCACACTAGTTACGCAATATTCCCCAATCACAAAATTGAATTCTAATTTTGGTTTTTGAACTGGCGTTTTATCACAGTTCAGAGAATATAATATGATTCTATAAACTGTGGTTCTATTGTTTGAAATAACCAAATGTTCATCTAATTGACACTGATAAACGACGTGAATCTCTTGTATCCCGTTCAAGGCAGGAACCTGCAGATCTGCTTCATGAATGAGTCTCTATCGGACACGGATAGCCCCACCTCCGATTCGGAAGTGCCCGCCATTTTCCCCCACCGACTTGACACCGTCACCCCCAGCCCGTCGCCATCTGTCCCGCTCGACGACAACTAATATAGAGGATATTCTTGAGAGTTGTTATATTTACTGTGTATTGAGTTAGTTTCGAACCGCTGTGGAGTATAAACGTGTGTGTGCTTAAACATTTTTACAACGATCTGGCCCTGTGACCGTTCGGTAGATATAATGAACACAACAATTCCTACATTTGACACCAAGTAAGTCATTGAACAGTTTGAAAGTGATCAATATTCAGTTAAGCTCCAAAAACTGCATTCAGATACTTAGTAAATTGAGAGAGCAGCAGTTTGTTTCTGTCTTCATACAAATATAAACACTAAACGTAAATAATGGCCCCGCCCCCGCCGCTGAACTGCCATACCTGTAGCAAAGCGATTCACACAGAAAGAATTCGCGAAAATCACGAAGTGTGCGGCCTCTGGTGGCTAACTTTACAAGCCTTGCGAGTATGAACAACAAATATGGCGACCATTGTCTTGAGTTTCTGTGTTTTATTTAAAAATAATTTTTTTGTTGAAGTGCATATTCCAGAACCTCATTTTTCCCTGATAAAAAAACTCGAATTATTGCCTTAACTTTTATTGTTTACAATGAAGAAGCCAGCACCTACCTTATAATAATATAATATACATTTTCTGAAGCACAGTTAGAATCCTTGTATGAATGTTGGTTGCAATGATTCGATCTTGAGAATAACTTCAAGTCTTCAATTGCTGGAGATCCTTTTATATGTAAAATCGATGAATTGTTCATTCTGAGCAGCCTCTCCAACCATATCTTCTTTTCCCAGTCCCTTCACTAGAATTCCATCTCCTACATAAAAGCCAGTGATATTTCTTGATGAATTCAATTATTTCTTCATACCTATACCATATTGTTGTAATAGCTGATTGCTTATATGGCTCCATTCCAGTCCATGCAAGTGTTGAGTGGACCATTCTGACCATTCCATATGTTTGAAAACTGTGGAATTGTAGTGTGATATCAATGATGAATACCACCATTGTCCACATGAAAATGGCAATTTCTCTGCACAAAAAGTAATTTTTTCCATACTGAAAACCTTGTACGTATTTCACGAAGTCAACTCATTATTCACTATTTTGCAAAATGATTTCGAAATAACCAATTTGCAATGAGTGCATACGGCAATGTTTTTGTTGTTCATACTCAGTTTGAAATTTGACGTTGATTTGACGTTTAATAGAGCCATCTATTGGTTCGTGATTTTCGCGAATTGCTTGCTCAGTATGTAGGGTCACCGCACACAGGGAGTGCGCTCGACCGATACCAGATGCAGAAAAAAAGATCGCGTGGACCTGTGAAACGTGCCTGAATGATAAGTCCGCGGCAGCTCATCAGCCACTGAATGTTTCCCATTTCAGTGCGATAATGGATCGACTTGATATCGTTTCCAAAACCGTTTCTTCACTAGCCGATAAAATAGAGAACATCAGCAACATTGTAGCCGCTCAATCTCTTACAATCAATCAATGCATGGAGGATATCTCTATTATAAAAAAAGATAATGAAGTGACGAAAAAACGAATCTCTGGTTTCGAACTTCAAACATTACAACTCACTGATGAATTCCATGCAGAAATCAAAGAGCGCCTCAAACGTGAGAAAAACATAATAATCACCGGTATACCAGAAACTAACTCGATACAGGATGATATGAAAATAGCAAATGAAATTGTCAATACACTCAACCCCGACTCCAGCAACAATATAAAATCTGGATTTAGATTTGGAAATAAATCGAACTCTTCCAGACCTAGACCGTTCAAAGCAATTTTAAACTCTACTGATGAGGTGATACAGATTCTCAAAAACAAGAACAAAATCTCGAACTCTGCATTCCCAAACATTAAACTCAACAGTGATATGACCCCAAAACAAACCGAACACCTAAACAAGCTGCGTGATGAGTAGAAGAACTTGAATGGACAAGGAAGGTCCAACTTCACCATAAAGTATGTAAACAATGTCCCAACTATAGTAGAAATATCCGAAGTTCAACGAGGAAAAAGGCTCCGTGAAGAAGAAATATCTCCTCCTCGAGTTCACGGTTCAAAAATTACCAAATCTCAATTACCTGATCAGCCTAGTGGAAGCGCCCAATAGCAACAACTGAATATTACGTTCTGGAATTGCGATGGTATCTCCAGCCTCAACGACCTCATTAGTGATCACGTCGATTTCGACATACTCTGCTTATGCGAAACATGGTTAACCGCGGAAATTTTACCAACTCCAATGATTCTTCCTGGTTATAACAATATCTTATTCCCCGCTACAAAGGAAAAATCGAAAGGACGTGCAAGTGGAGGTCTTTGCGTATTTTTCAAGGACACCCTCAACGCTAACATACTTGAAAGCTCTCCTTGGTGGTTAATATTTTCTGTCACATTACCTAACATTGTTCTGATCATTTGTAGTATATATTTCAAACCCGATTTCAAGATACAACATATTTTGGAAATGTTTCAAACTACATTAACAGATATTTCTGAAGCTCACTCTGAATGTATTTTACTGATAGGAGGAGACTTCAATTGTAGAATTGCCGAGTCAGGTGAAGCTCCAGCTGAAATACTAGCTGGTGTAAACCATAGAAGTGTCAGTATATATAATATGATTTCTATGGTGTAAACTTACACGAGCAAAGAGCGAGTTTAGATAAGGTTATGAATAGCAGAGGTAGTAAACTTTTAGATTTCATGAATTCAAACTCTTTTATTGTTCTGAATGGGTGCACTAAAGAAATCTGTACCGCTTGTAACCTGAAAGTCGAAGAAACCATTACACACTTGATTCTTGAGTGTCCCATTTATAAGCCATTAGCTTCATACTGTAATCATTTGTCCAGTTTTGATACCTTGATCAATGCTCTCGAAAACCCCTCCAAAGACATGATGAAAACTATCTCTCATTTTATATGGAGCATGCTTAAACTGCGCTCATTCATCATCAATGAATAATGTTTTTATTGCTATATAGATGTTATTAGTCAGTAAGCAGAATGTAGTTGATTAGAAAATGTACCAAATGCTATTTTATTTAGTTATAAGTTCAATTCGCTAAAATTGTAAAAGTTCATTATCTATATATTTTTTTGTTTGTTTTTCTCTCACTTTTTTTTTTCGCTTTATCCCTAAGCCATATAATCATTGTACAAAGAACCTAACTCACTTGTTATGAAGCATGTATGTTTCTATAAGCAATAAAGATCTATCTATCTATCTATCTATCTATCTACTGTGTATTTGGGGTTGGCACACTTGCTCACAATAGTTACGCAACATTCCCCACTCACAAAATTGAATTCTAATTTTGGCTTCTTTGTTAATAACTATTGAACTGGCGTTTTATCATAGTTTGATATAACCAAGTGTTCATCTAATTGACACTGATAAATTACGTGAATCTCTTGTATCCCGTTTAAGGCATGAACCTGCAGATCTGCTTCATGAACGAGTCTCTATCGGACACGGACAGCCCCACCTCCGATTCGGAAGTGCCCGTCATCTCCCCCCACCGACTCGACACCGTCACCCCCAGTCCGTCGCCATCTGTCCCACCCGACGACAGGGCGAGACGGCCGGCCGCCCGACCAGCCACTCTGGCCGTTGGACCGCCAGTGCGCCGGCCGTCGGATCGGCCATCGGCGGAGATGGACTTCTTCGCCAGGCAGGCGCGACTGCAGACGGAGGCGCGGATGGCTTTGGCGCAGGCCAAGGAGATGGCCAGGATGCAGATGGAGGTGAGTGAGGCTTTTTCGAGATTGAGATTATGCTACTTTCCATATACGCATTAATGAATTTAAAAATATGAAACAAATGATTATCCTTAAGGATGCGTATGCGCAAATATAGTAATCACAGACATGCGTTTTCGTAGAGAATGGCGTTCTCCAGCTTTTGAATCAAAGGAGTTTGTGTTTTATCGTTCCATAAGGTCAAGACATTCTGTTGTTATTGTTTATGTTTCGCAGACATGTTTGGTAGCAGAGGTTTGATGGATATTATGAATACTGCTAGATCTCATAACTAAGAGATCCAGGATGAACAGAGTTGCCCCAATTGTCAGCAGGAGCGAGACAGTACTGTTTCGACCCACCAGGTCTCATCAGCCGCTCTCGGTCTGCTGACAACTGGGTAAACTCTACGCTTCGGGTATATCACCCATTTCGAAGACGCAGGATATAACATGAAGTTATAGTCATGTTGTAGCCATCTAGTGGCAATGCTCTAAGGTAGGATACAGAGATTGCGACACACACTGTATGGCGCTGTATGGCTAGATCTCATAACTAAGAGATCCAGCATGATCTGATCTACAATTTTTCAGCAATATATCAGTGATGATGTATGACAAGATGCCTTTTGAACATAATTAGATGAGATGAAAAATGAATGCTCAGTTGACAAGAAATAGATGCATCATTAAATGTGACAGTATAAATATCACTGATGCACTGATGAACACATTACAAAAAGTTTGAACAATGACAAAAAATGTCTTGCAATCTTTCTGGACTTGGCCAAAGCCTTTGATACTGTGTCACACCACATTCTACTGAACAAACTGGAGCAAATAGGTATCAGAGGTATACCAAACGACCTTTTCAAATCATATCTAAACAACAGGCATCAACAAGTTAAAATAAATGAATATCTCAGTGATCCTTGTTCGGTAGAGTGTGGTGTGCCACAGGGCACTGTGCTGGGGCCAATTCTTTTTATAATATATATAGACAGCTTGACCAGAGTCTTATCTGAGGGAAAGGTGATTTGCTATGCAGACGACACTGCTTTGCTGTTTGAGGATGACTCTTGGAATTTGGTGTTTAATAAAGCTGAGACAAAAAAGAACCTCCCTGAAAAAGAATCGCTGATATTTCATAAACCCAATTGTGAAGAAATGAATAATTGTCAATGTAATTTAAAAATTAAATTTAATAATAAAATCAAGTATTTGGGAACTTACTTTGACCCACACATGAAATGGAACTATCACATTGAATATGTTGTATTAAAAATTAGAAAGTTATATTATAAATTCTATCAACTTTGACAAATTTTGGATAGGAACAGCATTATCAATATTTATAGGGCTTTGGTAGAGTCTGTGTTATCATATGGAATCTCAGCCTGGGGTTCAGCTTATGCTAATGCCATGACTCCTTTAAATATAGCACAAAAATACATTCTAAAAATTATAATGTTCAGAAATAAAACATTTCCTACTGACAAACTCTTTGAAGATGCAGGTGTTCTTGACATTTCGCAATTATACTTAAAATCTGTTGTAAGATATCTATCAAAAATGAATATACCGAAAGTTAATCATGTTATAACAACTAGATCAGTAACAAATGAAAATGTAATTGTTCCTACTACATCTTATGTAACCATTCAACGAAGTATATTTTATATAGGACCAAAAATATATAACATACTGCCAAACGAACTCAAAGGCAAACCATACAAAAAAATCAAAAATAAAATATCATCTTGGATTTTAAAAAGCAAACCCAATATCTAGTTATTAGTTTGACATATATTGCATATATTGTATTACATTAGTACATATTAGTCCAGATAGTATAGTATATATAGTCTATAAGACGATTCATTAGCAAATTCACTCATAGGTGAATTGTGTTATAAATGTGACTGGTGCACACACAAGCTTTTAAAGCTCATTTTGTACCTGAATGTATGTAAACCATTTGACTGTTCATGGATATTGAATAAAATACTCAAATACTCAAATACTCAAATGCAATAATAATAATAATATTCATTTCAGAAGAATAAGCAATACAATTTCGATTAAATTTTATCTGCCAATAGGATACCAGATTGGATAACTCCATTCTTACTCTTGCACCTAACCAACAAAAAAAGGAAAAATTGTAATAATAGATAATGAATGAATATAAATACATGACGCACACAAAAATATGTTAAATTATATTGAATATAGAAGGATGCATAAATGGTAAATTGACCTAGGGTATCAGTAGGATCAAAGAAAATTTTTTTTATAGGCATGAGTTGAATTCATTTTGATGAACACTATATTATGTAGACATGAAAAGGGCCACAAATAGGAACACCCATATACAAAATACTTGATAGAGTATTCAGAAAATTTTGTTTGAGAAAGTATCTGAAGTTTGCCAAAGATTTAGCCTGGAGTGAGAGCGGAAAGTCATCATATAGTTCAGCTATTTTTGAGGCTATTTTATAGGTGAAAGATCTTTTGAACTGTTGTCTAACAATGTGGATCCTTTTGCGTCTGATGTTGACGTGATGTAAATCAGTTCGATATTGAATCTTGTTATAGAGATAGGGTGGTGTTTTAGTGGTAATAATTTTATGACATAACACTGAGGTATGAAGTGTGCGCCTAACAGACATTTTCAACCATTTTTCCTTTTTTTAGCGTAAATGAAACTGGATCTCGTTTTCTAATTTCGAAAGAAAATCTCAAGGCACGAGTTTTGAACTCTTTGGATTCTATTATGTTCGGTAGAGTTCAGAAAATAATGGTAAACCACGTCACAGTGATTGAAGGTTGACAGTATCAGAGTGTCACAAAGAAGTAATTTAGTTTTAGTATTCAGTGCATGCCTGTGGGATCAACAGATTTAAGATTCAGACCACTAACTCTCGACCTAGTTCCATATCGCCCGAATATCGAGCCGAATATCATCACTGAGCACTTGGCAATGTTTATATGGAGTGAGTGTTTTTTCGATATATCGACGAAATGGTTCAATTCTTGGTTCATAACCTTTACATTATCTGATATTTCCTTGGGTTTGAATGAGTAATACAATTGCGTATCATCCGCATCCATGTGGTATTTCAATGTATTCAAGCCCATGGATAAGTGTGTGGTATGAATTGTGTGAAGTATGGGGCCAAGACCAAGACCTTGTGGTACCCCTGAAGATGAAGTCCTACATCCTGATTTCACATAATCTATCTTTAATGTATGATGCAAAAAGTTTTGGGACAGGCCATTATAGTATTGAGAGGAGTAGTTGGTGATTTATAGAATCGAATGCCTTGCTATAATCAATTAAAATTAGAGCTGTGACTTCATCATTATCTGAAGCTCTGACAATATCATCATGTTCAATAAGGTTGTTGCACAACTGTAATTTGATCTAAAACCAGATTGCGTCGTCGGTAAAATATCGTTATTGTAAAGGTGATCTCGGAGCTGATGAGCGATACCTTTTTCCAAAATTTTAGAAAGAAAGGGAGGTAAGCCAATAGAACGTAAATCTTTGAATGTCTTGGGTTCTTTAACTTTTGTTATCGGAATCACAATCGATTGTTTACAAATTTTTGGAAAATCTTCTTTTCCAGACAAATGAATGTCAGTGTTCCATTTCTAATATATTCCAACACCACATGTGATTTTAAAGTGCACTGTGAAAAAAATTGAAATATTCAAAGTGGCCGTCACTATTCACAAGTACTTTGAAATTACATATTATGGTGTCGAAATATCTGACAAATGAAACAATGACGTTCATTTCATTGATATATTTACTGTCACATGCAATGATACATCTAAACGTTTTATGATGATATCTATTCTTGTCAATTAATTGAGAATTTATTTTTCATTTCAACTAATTTTATTCGAATATCAACTTTTTCTTGTTATATATAATTGTATTCAGATCAAAATCTCCAACAAAAATATGAAAACTGCTACATTTGACCAAAAAAATTCAGTTGCTTTCACTTGGAATTCAAAAAATTAATGATCAGAGTTTACTCATAGAATTTGATGAGTAATATCATTCGCGTTTTTGGACTTTCACATCGGATAGTAGCGGCGCTATGGCTTTGGGCGTTTTTTGTCAGCCTGTGTATTTATGAAATATATAAAATATATGGAATATTTTGAACTTGTATTTTTAAACAGGAATTTTTATACTTGAAAAAAAACTGAACAATATTATTCCATGTTTACTAGAATCAATCTATTTGAAAAAACATTATTTTTTATTTTTAAACATATGCATAGCCATATTTAAATAAGAATATACTTCCCAGTGATCCAATATAATTCCTAAACAGTAATTTGAAGCTTGCTGGTATTGGAATAATAATATTAATATTATTATCATCACCACATGACATGTGTGGAAATATAAATTGTGTAATCTCAATGCAATTCATGTACACCAACAGTTTACTACTGTATCAACATTAAAATCACATTTGAGTGAGTGATTATTTTCATATTAACAGAACAGTAGAATATCGAAATAAGGATAATAAGAACAAAAAGACTATTATTAATAGGTAACAATGGTAAACAAAAACAGTAATATGATACCAATGAGGCCTAAATCTAAATTGAAGGGTACACGGAAAAAAGCAGATATGTCACTTCATATCCAAATTGAGTAAATTGATTTTTTATGTTCAAAACGGAATATTTTTATTCTGAGTAAATATATAAACAAGCTGTTCACATTGTACTGAAGCTTACATCATGAAAAAATATTTGAATCATTATTTTTATAGTAAAAAACATTTTTTGTCTTGAATAATACAAAAAATCGTGATCACTCCATCTTTTGCAGTGAAGAAACCAGTTATGTCATCTGAAACAAACAAAAACCATCCTTGTCACATTCATTTCTACACCAGAAACAATAATGTTTTTGTATTATTTCACCTATTTTTTCGAGTTTGAATTGTTTATATACAAGTATATAATTACTTTTAACTTACTTGTTAGTGATGGGCCATATTTTCGCAGAATAAGACAAAAAGTTTAAGTGACATCGCTGGTTTTCTGAAGGACGCACGGACAATGCTGTTTTTTTTTGTTGTACGGTACATTTTTGACGTCCTTCAGTACAACACTACGCTGGTATTTTCCCAGTTTCAGTGCCGCAAAATATGCGTCTTCAACTAGAGAATTTAACGCCACCTATACCTGAATGTACAAGTAAAATTGACATGTCTGCTTTTTTCCGTGTACCCTTCAATTACATTATATTACATTTCCAAGTGCCGTTTCAGTTCTTTGTGAAATGAGTTGAAGGTGTCTATATTTTTTATTGTCATTGGTAATGCATTGTACGATTCTATACTTCTATTCTATGGATTGTTTAGTCCAAGTTCAGTTCTAGCATTGCCCAAGTGAATGTTAATCCTATTTCTTGTGTCATAAGAGTGAATTTGGTAGATATGATCAAGATGAACATTGCATTTCTGTTGGTTGTTGCATTATTCCAGAACCAATATTTTATTTATTTGAGCAATTCTGGCCGCCGGGTGTAACATTATTGTACACCCGCAGAACCGTTTATTGGATTGTTTTGCATCAAAACACATTTTTGGCCCACGGTGACAAAAATCAAAATACTGACATCGGCGAAAGTGTTGATAATCTTATTTTGAAGGGTTTGTATCATTTTGAAATTAGTTCCACCACATGTACCCCAGATGGTTATAGGATATCTGAAATGTGCCAAGAAGAATGAGTTGTACATTAAATAGTAGTTTCGTTCATCAAGATAATCTCTACATCTATCAGAAGGTATCGATGAAAATTCCTCTTTTTTTGCTGTCCTCAATGAGCCGTTACCGAGGCCGTGACTTTATATGTCCCCCCTCTCAAACATCGCCTAGATCCATCCCTGATTTTAAATAGTGATGGGCAATGGAATATCCGCCCAAACGGATAAACACCCGGAGAGGGCCCAAAAGGATAAACGCTTGGAAAACGCCCAGGTCGATTTGTGCCAAAGTCGCTTTGGATGGTTCAAAAATGGATAAGGCGCTTCGAGCGTATTGGGTCCGTTTTTGGACCGGCCCTTTCCGGGCACTTGCCGTAACTGTTTGTTCGTGATGTTTCCTATACCCTCTAAGTTCTAAGTAATTCTTGTTTTCAGATCGAGAAACAGAGACAAAAGAAAAGTCCCATAACTGAAATGATCCGCAATAGCATGGAAAAGGTAGGAATACCCTTTCCAGAAGAAAAACGACGTTTATCCCGACAAATACTCACCGACATGAATGTGGCCCAGCTGCAGGTCATCGTAAACGATCTTCATACTCAAATTGAAAGTTTGAACGAGGGATTGGTTAAATTCCTAATGAACCGAGATGATTTGCACATGGAGCAAGATTCTATGTTAGTGGATATTGAGGATCTGACCAGATATCTGTAAGTTTGCATGCATGAGTGATGAAGGTTAATTCATTTTGAGGTTCCTTGAAAAATAAATACAATCAATGGATTACACCTGACCTTATTGAGGAAGGTGTACTCTTGAGGAAAATACATCAGCTAAAAAATATTTCTCCCAATGATATGGGTATCAGAGATAAATATAAAATTCTGAAGAAAAAACATGAGAAAAAAATACTTCTTGCTAAGAAAGACTCAGTCACGTAAAATTATCAATGCCTCGAATAAATCAAGTGCTACTTGGAACTCAACAATTAATATGAGAGACTCGAAAGTTCCACACTCTGTAACTACTGAAAATAATGTGACACTGACTGATACTTTCGAAATCGCAACCGCATTCAACGTTTTTTTCATTAATAGTGTAGGCTATTTAACACGATATTCGACAGTAAATGATAGTTATGATATGAAATTGGAAAATAACAACTTAAATTCTTTGTTTCTAACTGCTGTCGATTGTCGAGAGATATCTGAAATAATTAATACAGTTTGCTCCAAAAACTCCAGTGGAATTGATGAAGTACCATGTCGAGTATTGAAGCATGTCTCTTTTAAATCAGGTATATTTCCGCAGCAACTCAAATCTGCTCTAGTTATCCCAGTCCATAAAAAGGGTTGTCAGTCGAATATGTCTAATTACAGGCCAATTGCCTTATTATCGGTCTTTTCAAAATATTCGAAAAAGCCTTTCAAGTGAGACTTTTAAGATATCTAAATAAATACAAGCTATCAACAAATAGACAATTCAGCTTCACAAAAATCTATCCACACAAGAAGCATTGATGTCGTTATATGAACAGCTCTTAAACAATTTTGACAATAAATTGAAAACTTCGACTGTGTTTTTCGACTTCCAAAAGGCATTTGATGTTGTCAACCACTCACTACTATTGAATAAATTGAAATTATATGGAATAAGAAGAACTGCATTAACCTAGGTCAGTTCATACCTCTACCAGCAGGTCTGTGTAAAGAAAAGTGGGACTACAACTAAAAGTGTCGAAGCCATTGAATGTGTCTAGTGGTGTTCCTCAAGGTAGCACCCTAGGCCCAACTTTTTTCATTATAACGACCAATGATATCTTCCTGAACATTCAAGATGGACTTCTGACACTGTATGCTGATGTCACTTCAGTGGTCTTGAACAGCAAAAATTATGAAGACCTTGCTAATAGGTCAACCAACTGTATCAGTGACATGAAAAGGTGGTGTGATACTAAAATGGATTGATATTGAATCTATCTAAAACAAACTTCGCATTATTCACACCTATAACAACGAAATCTGATATCTGCTTATTGGTGAGGCCTGGTAATGAAAATAATGTATCCATCAAACAAAGCAATTCTGTTGAATTCCTGGGTTTATATATGGATGAAAATGATTCTTGGGAGACCCACACACAGAAATCAAATCAAAAAACTTTGCAATTGTCATATTATCATATTATCGTGCATTCTCGACTAATGTATGACATACTGTGTTGGGGTAATAGTTCTGGTTCTGAAAAGGTATTTATCAGTCAAAAACGGATAATAAGAAGTATATTTGGTATGAGACCAAGGGACATCTGAGGAATATTCTGCTTCATCCTTATGGCCGAAATATTCCATGTTACGACCGACTTCACGTTACTTCACGGATCACACGTTAAAAGGTAAGACCCTCGTCATTCCTTGCTCGCACAAGACTTTCGAAGGCTTCTGAGGGTTGCTCGTAAGGGGGCAACCGAATGACGGATAGAACAATTTTAGAACAATAGAACAACTTTAGAACTGAAGAAAAGAGTGAAAATCGACAAATACGGCGCCTTAATACGTTCCATCAAGAAGAAAAACGTTGGATATAAAGCAAGAAAATCAAAAGTATTCACAAGAGAACAAGTCAACGAGTTTGTGCGTTCTGCCCCCAGACGAGGAGTTTTTAATGATGAAAGTGGCTTTTTTAATTGGAATTGGAGGAGCCTGTCGAACCATGGAATTAGCGAAGATGACCACTCAAGATGTTGAAGTTTTAGAGGACAAGCTGATTGCTACTATTCCCGACTCAAAAACCCACAAGAAACGGATTTTCTTTGTGGTATCTGACGGCAAAGTCAATCCTGTGCTTTTATTTAAAAAGTACGCAATATTAATGCCAGTCCATGTTACTCGCCGAAGATTGTTTGTATCATACAGAAAAGGGAAATGTACGGTACAGCCCGCGGCATTCATTTCTTCTCTAAAATTCCTCAAAAAATAGCTGAGTATCTCTCACTTGAAAATCCTTATATGTATACTGGTCACTGCGTTAGAAGATCTCTCTGTGGATTCAGCACTGAGGAACCGCACGAAATCGAAAGGAGTGCTTGCTCGGTCATTAATCATGCTTCAGAGGACATACCTATATGATCGTGGACGCTAAAGGCAAAGGAGTATCCATCAAATTTGAAAACTGTCAAAATATTGTTTTACATGGTCATGAAAACTAGTTTTAATATTATTTGGTATCTAACGTATTATGCTTTCGTAACTAACGTATTAAATTATGGTAACTAATGTATTATGAGTTTTGTAGGTTGTGGTACGTTTATGATGTTAATAATTATTAATAAAGATTTCATATAAAATTTTCTTAATCTTCAATGATACGATAAAGATAAAAACAGAAATAATATTATATTATAACTAGACACTAGCCCAAGATCTGGGAGAAAAAAAAAACAAAGCAAAACAAACATAGAACTGTTTACAAATAATTATGTATGAAAAAATTTACTGCAGGACGAATGATACAAATTAAAATATACCATCGAAATATTCCGTAAGAGAGTAGTAGCTTTAATTTTCGAGAAATAATTTGCACTGTCTTTTGAATAAAGGAGTCTTTAGAACTTCAAGTGAGTCATGCAAATGATTATATATTTTGAGAGCTGTTATGACGGGACCTTCTCTAATCTGTGCGAATGAAGCTGGAGGAATGAATAATTCATTTGCATTTCTTGTTGTATAATGATTAATATCACCACAGGTTTTAAAGTTTTTTAGATTATCGTGAGTGAAGCATAAAGCGGTCAGAAGTTTTGCGAAATATGCCAACACCGTTTCTTCTGCACCTTGAACCTTCACTTTGTTTCGCCACTCACAAAACTGCCGATATTCTTTTTCATAATGGATTTTAGATTTGTCCGAAAGCAAGTCCAACCTTATAGTGTTGGCTGCAGCTATTATATTATCAGGAATTTCAAAATCTTGCATGATTTTTGAAATGCCAAAATGAAGTGATATTAAACCTTGTTGATTTTATTTTATAAAGCTTTGAATGTAACTCGATTATTAGCGATTTAACACCGTCTCGGACATTGCGGGTGACTCGGGTGTCGCCTCGTCACCTAGCAATGTCCTCGACTAAAATCGCATAATAATCTCGTTATAATAATAGATATAAATTGACATTTTCTATACTTGTAGTGCAAGTCTCATGAAAAATGAATACTCACTTACTTACTTAATTTACTATGTTTGTATTACTGTAAACATCTATAAATTGAGCATAGGGAGCCAAAATACAATCCCTAAGGCTACTGACGAATCAATTTCCTCTTGGACAGGTTTTCTTCAAAGTCTACATTCAATTAATAATACCGGGTGTTTCTCAAAAGTGGCTGACCCCTTGAACTTTTTTGTTTATACAGATAAACAAATAAAATTCGGCGTGTATGTATAGTACATAAATATGCATTATTTGACGTATTCAATTGTTTTCTGTCACTTCTGGTTTGACCAGAAATGATCCATATTCTAAATGGGACACCCGGTATATTTTTGCTCATTTCGATATAGAATGACGTGATTACAATGACACCCCATTTGCCACCTTTTGACATTTACCATCTTGAAATTTTCATTTCTCATTTTCCAATCTAGTGCCATGAATGAGTTGAAATAGTGGCCAGGTAGCCGTGCGGACAGAGTGTCTATATTCTAATTCGCATTCGCTTGCCGGTCGTGGGTTCGATTCCCATCGACTGCAGACATTTTTCTGATGGCCCAAGAAAGTGTTTGGGATCACACGTTAAAAGGTAAGGCCCCCGTCATTCCTTGCTCGCACAAGACTTTCGAAGACTTCTGAGGGTTGCTCGCAAGGGGGCAACCGAATGACGAATAGAACAATTTTAGTTAATTCTGAATCATGTTGCCTAGAAAAAAAAAATAGTTTCCATGAAGTTTTACTCTTCATTTGTTTCACAGGTTCATTAAAAATCTACAATATCGTAATTATGGTGCTCTCATTTTTTTTTTCAATAGAACAAGGGTGACCCATTACCATATCTGAAAAGGGTATTTTGTTGGGAACACGTTGATTCGTTGCCATCGTATACAGGGTGATCCACGGTGGATGGCCTATTAGAAGTATCTGGAGAACGAAAAGACAGAACATTCTGAAAATTGGGATCCTTTGATAATTGAACATTCTCTATCCGTTTAAAATATTTTCATCGATACAGTGTTGCCACTTCTATTAGAAACAACCAGCAACTTTGTTATTTCTAATGGAACATCCTGTATTTTATTGCATTTTCAGATTCTTCCTGAAGAGCTGATTTCATCAATATGTCACACTTGGGGTCTAGCAAGAATGATTACAGAGATATAGGGTGTTCAAAATCGAGATTTTTCAATTTTAATATTTTTTTGTGTCGAAACTATTATCGATAAAAACGGCTTACATGTCCCTATCTTAACTTTTGATTCACTGTCCACTGGAATTTAATTGGAAAAAATACAGGGTGCTTCAAGATTCAGAATTCTGATCACCCTGTATCTGTTCCAATTAAATGTCAGTAGACAGTGAATCGAAAGTTAAGATAGGGACATGTGAACCGTTTTGATCGATAATGAATAGTTTCGACACAAAAAAATCTCAACATTGAAAAATCCTGATTTTGAACACCCTATATCTCTGTAATCATTCCTGCTAGAACACAATTGTGATGCATTGATGAAATCAGCTCTTCAGAAAGAATCTGTAAATGTAATAAAATACAGGGTGTTCCATTTGAAATAACAAAATTTCTAACTGTTTCTGATAGAAGTGGCAACACTGTCTCGATGAAAGTATTTTAGACGAATAGAGAATGTTCAATTATCGAAGCATCCTAATTTTCAGAATGTTCTGTCTTTTAGTTCTCCAGATACCTCTAATATGCCATCCACCGTGAATCACCCTGTATACCACATAATAGATATTTTGAATAAATATCCAGTATCAATCGATATTTTGAATAAATAAATATCCAGTATCATAATCACTCTAGATTGAAAATTGGAGAATCAAAATTTCAGGATGATAAATGTCAAAAAGTACAAATGCCTATGGAATCACATCACGCAAACTCACGTTCATTCCTAGATATTTAATTATAAATCAACTTTCCCAAATTAAAACATCCAGTACAGTGTAGTTTCGATCAGGTCAGCGGAGTTCTTTGGTTTCCTCTCACTTTAGTGCTCCTATGTAACAAAAACGTTGATGATAAAGCTTCAAAGCTTCGAAAGATGTCCCCGTAAGTTTGCTTACAATAAAGTATAGTTTTGGTGGAGTGGACTGTATGAATTTCGTCCTGTCCTATTTAGTCCAGTAACTTTGTCGCCTGAACATATAGGGGTAGTATGCGTCAAATCCGGTAGTTCTGATTTTTGTAGACTTGTTCATGATGTTGGCCTAATGAATTATCCAAGTTTGTGACCTCGAGCACCGAACGCAACTTTGTCAAAAATCGAAAAAAACCGCGAAAAAATCGTAATTTTTTCAAATTTTGGCGATTATAACCCTGAAGGACTAGTTTTTGAAGAAAATCTCTCAAGACGTTTTTGAAGCAGATCAAATTTGATACAATATGATACAAAAACTGTCTCTGTAGACCCAATAGTTCTCGAGATTAAGCCTCTCAAAGTTTATAATTTTTTTGAAACTTCTATTTATGTTTTAGGCGTCACTCGAATATACTCTAGCGGGATGAAGTTTCAATTACCTCCGGCGGAGTGTGCTAGTAATGTTCGTGTGAAGTTACTAATGCAACCCACCTGTAGCACGTTTTCAAACTTTTTAGGCAATCTAAACCACGGGACTTTTTAGCTGGCAAGATGGCGCCTGTTTGTAGGGCCATCACATATAATGAGTATTGGTTTTCTCTCAGGTACCTGCTACACATGCTTTGGTTTCTCATGATTAATTATGTTGTTAGATCCTTTCTCTTGATGGCTGCTATCCACATTTCTCTTCTTATTCTTGATAGATCTTTTATCAGTGGATAATGCACAGAGTTTTTCACAGAATCACAGTAGGAATGTGAAAAAACTAAGCAAGTTTTCCCGATCTGCACGGCTTCCACTATCCACCACAATACACGTTACCCGCATTTTTCCTTTAAAATCATATTAACAAAGAATAAAATAATACTCTAAAAGGTTTCCATAATCACCAAGTCCTCAAGTAAACAAACGAGTCACTTGTTTGTTTGCCTACCTCTATTTTCTAACAAATAAACTCATTAACTTTTGTTGTATAATCAGGGTCAACAATCAGAACGACAGGATTGCAAAAAATTGCGAAGTTCGAAAAAAATGATAAACTTTGAAAGACTCAATCTCGGAAATTAATGAGTCTACAGAGACAGTTTTTATATCATATTGTAGCAAATTTGGTCAACTTTAAAAACGTTCTGGAAGAGTTTTTTCCAAAAACTAATCCTTTAGGGTTATAATCGCCAAAAACTGAAGAATTTCGCAGATTTTTTCGCAGTTTTTTCGATTTTTGACAAAGTTGCGTTTGGCGCTCAAGGTCACAAACTTGGATTCTTCATTAGGTCAACATCATGAACAAGTCTGCAAAAAATCAGAACTACAGGATTTGACGCATACTGTGATGTATAAAGTTACTGGATTAATTGCCTTCACTCCACTATAAGATGGATCGTCTCAGATGGTGGAACAGTACTTAACAATGTTATTATCCCATTGTTTCAGGGGCGCCAAAGAACAAGTGAACCAAGACCAAAATATCAACAGCCATTCGAAGAACAACAACACCCCTCCATCCCCTGCACCCTCTTCACCCCTCTCAGCTATAAACAGCACCGTGAAGCCGCACCTGAACAGGATAGCGAACCTAGTGAAAAAATAACGCATTCAATGATAACGGGCTAGCTGAAATATTGTAAGGTTTCCGTTCTCCTTCTGTAAATAGGCTTGATTGGATGTTGACTGCTTGATGTTTGAGGTTAGAAAAATGGTGTGAGCGAGAGAGGTCAGGTAAACATGTGTGGTATGTGGATTTTGACTGATTTTTTTATGTATATTTCAAGTTCCTATGAGTAGAAATCGAATGAGAAAATTGGGGAGCCACGTGAAATGTTCCTTGACTTAACACTGAACCAAATGACTTGGTGTAATCTCAAATGTTTAAAGTCATCCATCATCTAAGAAGATTTTGTCTATTAATACACAATCATGGTCGATAGAATTATTCAATTCGGATTGAATAAGGCAGAGATACATATGGTTTCCAAGAAATCAAAGCGATTTTCATTTGAATACTGAAATTAACATACAAATCTATATATGTATATACAAAATACAGGAGGAAGGAATTTCACACAGATCAGCTCAAAATCAGTAAAAACAAACAGTAATAGCCTAAAGTCTGATTGCAGTTAGGAACTTTCGGGATCTAGGAAAATGTTCCCAAAATCTTCTGACAGTCTTGGGTGCACTCTATATGAAATAATTATATACAATACTATTATACAAAGCGTCATGAATTTCGTTTTGTCAAAAATTTTATCAGATTGTATCTTTTTTTCTTAAAAATTTGAATACGTATTTCATCGATATTGAACACGTAATGGTATCTAAATGTGATAAAAAAATGTTTTGGCTCGTTAGAATTGAAAAAACAATTTTCTGTAACACTGTATAATAGTAAATATAGTTAATGTTGAAAACACATTACCTACCACCTCCTTCCAGATATACGTCGGTGAACAAAGCACCCTGTATAGATAACATCTTATTGATTTCCAATACAAATGTGAAGCCAACTATGAAGAAAAACAAATAATTGGTTGGAATAGATAATATGCGCGTGCGCGAGTTCGACAAATTGAACAATACTCATACTTCAAATAATTCAAAACTCATAATACTCATGAACCTTTTTTCGCGGAATCGTTTTTTGATTACAAATCTTAGGACCATTATTATGATGATATTGATTAAATACCTCTGAAAAGGTAGTAGTGCAACTGTGATCATTAATTCTGGTGAAGTATACACGCCCTATATTGAAAATTACAGGCACAGAACTCATATTCTTTGGCAAAAATAAACTCGTTTCAATGAGATACTGGAAATTTGTCAGTTCTTGGAAATAGAAAATATCTCAGCCGTTCAAAAGTTAACTAAGAGATGGGTTACTTTGTGGACACTATGCAATGCAATGTATATCTATGAAATATTCGATTTATGATATGAACATTAAGGCGAATTTAGCAGACGCATAAGCACAATTTATTTCACAACCCCACAACAGCAATGGGCCTCTCCAGTCATTCCTAGAAAAAATATATCTCGATATATACGGCTCTTCAGTTTTTGGAGATATTGTTTTTCTTCAATTCATCTAATAAAAAATAATAGAAATGCCAAAATTAACGAGCGTATTCGAACGATCAGACATGTCAGCGAAACGTGAAACATCAGAAAGCGAGTAATTTGGATTGGAAATGTCATCACCTTCTCGCAGGGACGTGACAATGTTGCCAATTTGGACAAAAACTATGATTTGTCGGATATTCATTTCTCGATTTCTTTCGATTCAGCATATGATACCGATGCTGTTAGATGACACAACTAATACCTATTCACCTAAAAATTCGTGTTACTGAACAATTGAGTTGCATAATTAGTTAGATGATTGATTAATGTTTGTGGATTATTTATAATGATGAGTGAAATTTAATTTTGTATTGAATTACAATGCATATATTCATTATATCAGTTCTGAATCCCTTCCAGCAAAGTACTTTCAAGTTTAGGTACTCACCTAGGTACCTACTTATATACCTTTCTACCATATGAAAAGGAACAAACTTTGAATCGATCAATACTTGATTGCTCAGTTAGTTCCATTTTCTATACAAGCATCACTGCATTTTTGTCAATAATATTGAGAAATGAGATCTGTGAAGTTATACGGAGAATGAGGTATTTCTACTTGGCAACATTGTGTTTGCGCCAGCTGCTTCGTCTCTTTCTCTTTTAGACATGATTGCCACATTAGCAATTATATTTTCCGGGAATGAGTACTTGAGATGAATAAATACTGATCAATTTGATGATTATATTAATTAGTCAACGAAATCGTAACATCATAACTCCAACAAACTGAACAAAACGGGAAACCATGTGAAAAGTGTCTTATTGTTAGATGCGCGTGTATCACATTTTATCCTAACCAATCTTGAAACTTATATTTCACAGTTCAGAGTAAATCGAATGCGATCAGAAGTGAATTACCAATTGCCTAATACATAGTAATATCTAATCATCGCATTCCTTGCACCATTTTGTACATAGGATCAATCCAAGGATTTTATAGAGACCTGGCAACAGTGGCGTGCTTCCGAGACGTCACAAATTCTAACTAATTGAGTTGCAACCAAATGTTGCAGTCACTGTCATCCGACTTTCAAGCCTGAAAGACATAATTGAAATATGCATCGCGTCCACCGAACTGACGCCATGCTATCAGCATTAAATTTATTCAAATTCAAATTGTTATTGGTACAATATCTCTTTTAAAGAAAGCACATCGTAAACAAGATACGGCGTCCCCAGAACAGTATTCTTGCAAAAATATTATTCCAAACCAAAGAGATCTGAAAACAATTATTGAACTGAGATACCCAGACCGATACCGTAGAATTCTGGCTGTCAGAAAACGTTTCGTCATGCTCTCATGCTCATGCATCCCCTGAATTCACCTTGAGTAAATGTCTGAAGTTTGAAATCAATACTTATAGGATAGATGGATGATGGCCATACTTTTCTGGGAGGTCAGTTCCAATCGATTTTCCATTCAATATAGATTTTCAGTTGTTCATAGCTAAGTAGGCATTGTTGAAAAATGAATTTCGGATGTGACACAGTCACAGTAAAGAGTGATCATTGTTTGAACGTGATTCGAATCTGGAATGATATTACCTATTTACTTTATGTTTGGATGATGTGGATAGTTAGACCATTTATAAACGTTTTAATGTTGATTGTCTAGTGGCTTTAGAATGTTTTCTGATCAAGTAGTATACAAGAGGATTTACCTAAAATATCAAAACAGGATATGTAGTTTCCGATCATAAAATGAGTAGCTATATGAATATGTAAACGAGGATGAAAAACAATTCATTACAAATTATTGTCTTGACTCTCACTTGACAATTCAATTGAATTTATAAAAGCTATTTTGTGTCTAACTTTTGTACTCAGCAATCTCCCAGAAATGGTTAATAAAGTACTTTTTCTTCAAAACATTTTTGACATTCCGTGCGTCGATATAAGACGGTGAATTTTGGCATTGTCATGTTATTCCAGCGGAGCGAAAGTATCGTTGCTAGGATAACTACTTGTTTTTTCACCTTCGCTGACGAGTAACAAGACTGTTTTGTATTTGTCAAACACAGCACAAGAAGTTACTCTCATCTTCATATAGGTACTATGTTTCTCTGTTTTCCTAGAAGCATCAACCATTAGATGTTGAACAAATGACAGATTTTACACATTTTTTCGGAAACACAAATCCATTCCAAATCCTCATTTCAAATACGTAAAAGAACAACATTTGTGTATCAAAGTGAGCTGTTTGAAAGTAGTTTAGGAACAAAGCGGAAAAAATAGTATTGTAGTTTCCCATGTTCTGAGCAGATGCCTAGGTGATATTAATTTTAGTAATTTATTTTTTATACATTTGACATATCAAAGGTAGATTTCTGTTATGTAAGAATAAGTAGCATCACGAATATTGTAGTGTTATAACTGGCTAGGTATTAGTTTTCACATCAGAAGATACAACATGGAGTTGAAAGTAGTAACTAAAATACTACAAGTCATCACGTGCACACTTTTGACTAAAAAACTATTGATCTTATTAATAAATAAATTACAGAAGCAGCAAAATGCTGAATGGACTTATGTTAAGAGGGTTTCATGCTATTTTCTCTGTTTCAGCTCTCGTTCACAATAAATGAATTGTATATTACAAATGTTGCTTGTTCTCTTGATATTCTTTAGATCATTTTCAATGCAGACATGCAATAGCACCAATAATGTAATTCCATTGCCGAAACGGAGAAAATGCATTCATTTAGTTGAATTAAAAGAAGAAACAATGCAATGAAATTAATCTCTCTAATGTGTGATGCTTTGAATTATGAGTAGTTTGAAAACTACATGGATGCCAATCAACTTGCCATATCTTTATTAGGAAAGAATTTATTCAAAGAAAAAACTACTGTAATAGTAGGGGAGCCCAAGCGGGGATTTTGGGATTTACTCGAGCACGGGAGAATAACATAAGGGGGTAACCTTGCACCTTGTGAAATACTCCTACCATACCTGGGCTCTTTATATGGTGTCAAACTTCTAGGGCAGCCGATCAGATTAGTAAAATTAAATCGATCGTTAGAAAAACTCGAGAACGTCAGATCAAGGCAAGGTCAGTTAATTACATGCAGAAAAGTGTGCGTTTCAATAATCTGACCATTTGAGCCTGACATAAGGAAAGGGGGGAGCTACAAAGTTGCGAAATAAACGTCACTTGAACCTTCTCGAGCGCCATTAATTTTTTTTTATTCTGATGGAAATTATTCACTGATCACGGAAGTAACATAATATGCCGATTTGCACAAGCCAAAGTAGCAAACATCATCAATTAAGTTTGCGTACGTGCAGCCACTAGGAACTATGTTTTCCCCACTTCGCGCAACTCTGCCTTCATCTCTCTTTTTTTCACTCGCTCGCACTGTCCCCCTTAGCACAGATCGAAACCTAGGCTTTCCGCCAGAGCCGAATTTGAATGCGCATGTCCGAAAAATGACATTTGACATAAATACTGCACTTGTTTTGACCTGTTGTTCTTGAATATGTGAAAATGGTGTTTCATTTGAAAAACCGGAAATCCGACATATTGTATTGTTAGGTGATCAAATCCGAAATGGTTGCTAATATAACTACCAAAGGACCCCGCACGAAAACACGGGAAATTGACTGAAATTTCACTAAGTTGTTGTGTGAGGATGGCTCATTAGAAAAATATGTGAGTTTGAAAAGTTTTGTATGTTTAGTTTCTGAGATATGCATTCTTGAGTTTACAGTATTACAGGGTTATTACCTCGGATATTACTATCAAAAATTGATATCTCAGAAACGAAACATAAAAAATTGAAAAACTTTTTGCATATGATAGTCAAGAGATTCAAAATAGTGTGTGTAAAATGAGATCCAAATCTACGGAACTGTTTTCGAGATATTCAATTGAAACATGTAAAATAATCTTCAACAAAATCTAACACACCCTGTATCTGAATGAAAGGCAATATTGAACAACTGAATTGGCTAGTGAGTTTCCTCAGCTTTCATTCAATCAACCAGTATCTATCAATCCCTTTCTTTGTGATCAAAAACAAGCTTTCAATTGTTTTCGAAAAGGGGTATAACACAAAATTCAAAGAATTCATATTTCGAACAGAGATAGTTAACAAGAATCAAAATACGTTTTCGAAGCCTACAATAGACTAAAACTATAATGTCTCACCAAAATATAACTTGTTGGTTTTGGAATAGTGCTCGATTTTTTTTCCGAAAAATGAATTTTTTGACCGTGCCTCGTATACACCCTGATTTACTATAATTCATGTGATCATAACTAGACATGTATTTGAGTTCCGATCAATACATTTTCTAGCTTATTTTGTCGTATTTATACCTACTGAAAAAACAGTTTTTTCTTCGTCAATCCTACCCCGTTACGACGTTTTTAGGAACTTTGTCGGCTTATATCTCAGAAACTAAACATACAAAACTTTTCAAACTCACATATTTTTCTAATGAGCCATCCCACAATAACAGTTGAATATCAGCCAATTCGACCGAGAGCCAATTTACCGTGTTTTCGTGCGGGGTCCTTTCAGAAAAATCCGTTTACGAATGCAAAAGTTACAAGGGTGGCCCGATACCCTCTGTTTCACCCGGTATATCTACATGAGCTTTTTATCTCAAAATGGTGAATTCTTTGAGCTGTTATTGAAGTCCTACTACAAGAAACTGACTCACCCTGTATATATCATAATTCAGTTAGTACAGGGTGGGCCAAATTGGACACTTTTAAAGGTCCTATTTTCGAACCAGATGGAAGAAGCCAGAGGGTCGATTCTCATGAAAAAATCAATGGTGAAATCCGCATATCGATATCTGTCTTCGTTTCGGAGTTACAAGGTTTTTTTCGAAAATGGGCATTTTTGAAAAGTGGCTACAGATATTTTTTTGGCAAAAATTGTCTGTTCTCATGAAAATAACTGCAAAGCATTGAGGTTGTGATAAAAATTGTTCTCGAGGCACTGAAATCGGCCTTCCTATATCTAGTCCAAGAATATAACTTGTTCTTCTTGAAGGAAAAGTTATATTTTGCAACTAGGTATACGGTGACTGATATCAATGCCTGAGGATCAATTTTCATGACAAACAATGCTTTGGAAATGTTTTCAGGAAAACGAAGAATTTTTGCTATAAAAAAGAGTTTTAGCCACTTTTCAAAAATTTATATTTTCTAAAAACACCTTGTAACTCTGAGAAGAAGATAGATATCGATATGCGGTTTCCACTTATTAGTTTGTCATGTGAATTGATCAACAGGCACCGACATCAATTTTTTTCTTTCTCATATGGGAATAGAACTTTCGCTTTAAAAGTGCCCAATTTGGCCCACCCTGTACATTCAGTAGACAAATAAAAAATCCAACTGTCAGATTATGAAAATTCCTCTACATAATTCTCAGATTATGGGTCAATACAACAAGGGCATTAAGATGAAGCGTCTGTATAATAATCTAACGCACTCGAGTATCTCAAGGTCACAATGGTTGTTTTTTTTTTTTTTTCATTTTCAAAAATTGCTCATGACTTCTGGACTTGTCCAAATTGTCAGTCTTTTGAATAGAAGCTACCTGAGGGTTCACTTAACATCCCTTCTCAATATCTGACGCGCTAGAATACTTTTTTTTACCTATTTTCTCCCCCTTCGTACGGCCACCCCCACCATGCAAACCGGAAGATTAATATTTTTCGGTTATCAGAAACACCTGGGTCGTAAACACTCTTAATATCTGAAGCGCTGGAGTATGTCATTGTGACTGTTTTTTTTTTAACCTATACACGCTTCCCACACCAGTGAAGGGGCATACCTCATATACATGACACGACGCTCGAGTAAATCCCCATTTAGCCTCTTCACCTCCTCTACTAAATTAAATGGTGTACTCCTCCAATAAATTAGATAAACCTCAAGGAATTATAGAAGGTACATCATACAGGGTTTTTATTAATTATCGTAGTGGCCGTTGAAATAGTGCCGGTTTAATTTGTTTACAGGTGTTAAAGCGACCGGGTGTTAAAGCGACCGAATAATAGTTCGATCTCCATACGTGGAAAGCGGCAAATAAATAAAATATTTCAAGGGTCACTACAATGCTACGATCATTTATAGAGACCCTGTACTATTAAACTAGCTTTAGGATTGAGTACCTCTCGAATCAAATAACTCAAATGTGTGAAACATGTTCAAGATACATTGTGATGATCCTAAGATTTGTTTGTGATACCGTTTGTCCTACTTCTTCGATTTTTATTATTTCAAACTTGGTCTGTACATGTGCTATTTATATTCATTAGCTGCATTCTACAACACTATCATATGATGTTGGACAATATAAATTTTTGCATGAATAATTCTCATTTAATTGAGTGAATATGGATCAAAGTATTCAAGATATTATGTACACCAATTAGTTGTTATCCTATAAATAGTCCCAATAGGCAGTACCTACTTATCTATAGATATATATAAACATGTTCTTCAAGAAATTATCTTGAACTTCATGATCCATTTGTATCATATTCTCTGAACTCTTTGAATGTTATCAGTGGTAAGTAGACACCAATTCTGTAATATAATACAATTGACTGATGCTTTCACTGTAAATATGAATACTACTAGACTAGTTCTGTTTTATATATCTATCCTATATCTTAAATACTCTCAGCTTGAACAAAATACACATTTATTATGCATTGCAGCATAATAATGGGGAAGTTTTCTATAATAATATTTTTTTCGCAGTTGAGAAATAGTATATTTTCTATAGCTTTAGCACAAAATTGCTCTTGTTTTACTGTGTTCCATACATCAATGAGGTCCTTTGCATGTCATCAATTTCATTTCCGTATCTGATATCACAATGAATCCATTGTGTTATTATTCTCAAAAAACCTCATCGTCCATGGAATGTCAAATTTCAAGCTCTGTCAAATAGATGAGCATTACTTGAGAGGAAATCAGATGGCTACAAGACGAAGAAATCAGAAATGTCGACGTTATCTGTTACAGCCGTAAAAAAATTACAGTGTATAACTCGCACGGAATGCTATTTTCCCACTCGAATGATTGCAGCATCTCGTGAGAAATCACTATCATTCAGTGTTCATTAAACTATGTACTATTGAGCGATGAGAATTTTTTGAAATAATAACATAGTGGAGTCTTTGTGATATCAGATACGGAAATGATATTGATGACTTACAAAGTACCTCATTGACGTAGAAAAAAATATTGGAGACGTATTTTTGATTTTTTGGAAAATTGTTTCGGTTCATCCGCCATTCGGTTCACTGAGAATACATCGCAAATGAAAAAGTTGCCGGTTCGATTTGAATGTGTCAGAATTTTGCAATGAATATAATAGACTGGCCTGTAGTGACAGATTTTTTGCAACGTTTTTTTAATGTATGCAGCTTTCAAGTAATAATTTTCATGGGTTCTCAACATATCCTAGACAATTATTAATTTGGGCTCGCATGCAGCGGCGTCACCAATCAAATTCGAATTTGCATTGAAAATTGATGATTTCCAATGATTAGTAAATGCAAGCAAATTATTTCTTGTTGAAATTTGAGAAAAATGATACCACGGAAAAAATGTGCATACTCTGTCCTCGTGTAGGAAGACCCGAAACTATTAACTGAACACGTGATGCAGAGGGGGGTATTTTTGTTGCAAAAAATCTGTCATTACCGGCCGGTCTATAGAGTATCATCTGTCGTGACGAAAGTTCAATAAAATTCAAGGTTCTTCTTATTTGAATTGACTCATCTTATTGAGTAGTTATTAACTGACTTGATGAAAACTTGTCCGAAAGAAATTTCCCCATTATAATTATCGTCTCCAGTTATATTGCCATATTTAGAATAATTAAAAATAATTTAAGGTATTCCAAAGAAATGAAAAAAAAAAGTGTAATTTTCTAGTGGTGCTACTTAACGTGAATATTATTCAGAAACCACAAATTCCAAGCTATTGTTGTTGCCTAGTTTGAACACAGAATATCCCACGAAACCCATAGAAGGTCGGTCATATTGGGATATTCAATATATCGTTTGTTTTATGGGTTTCACCGATCGCTTTCTTTGAAAATATTAATATTTTTTATTTCATAAAAATGCCCACATTATAGCCGATATTTGAGATTGATGTCAAATATCAACTATACTTCATTTTATGCACCACTAGAACTTGCGCATTAAATATGATGAAATATAAAATTACAATACTTTAATATTATTTTGAAGATTGATATTAAGATTGTGTTGATTTTTTCATTCTCTTTAACCTGAAACAATGAACAATGTAATGCATCTGATATCATCGACAATGTCATGTAGTTAACTTAATTTATTTGAATCTTGTAAAAATAAGTTTTAATTAGGCATTTCTCCATCACATAACTATCATTTTTTCTCTATTAAGACTGCACTTGTATCCAAAGAAACATGTCAAATCATGAGACCTAGTATTGACGAATGTTCATTGTAATTTTAAGTGGAAACTCAATAATTGTGAATACAAAAAGCTTAATTGAATAAAGTTACTCGATAAGATGTGCTCGTTTCAATTTCCTATCATGGCTGATTTTCCAATCTAGAACCAGGCTCGAAACAGGCATTCCATTAGTTTGCTATGACATGTACCTACCGGATGACACGTTATAAAGTACCCCCTACCTGACAGAATTCAAAAATTATCTTATTGAAGACAAATTCATAACGTAAATTTGATCATATCTAATAAACTGTACGAGATATATGATAAATGTTGAACCTCCCTAGGTACTCACCATTTTCTTCGAACTATAAAAATTTCCTTTCGAGCGCTCCAAGAGATAAAAAATAAAATAGGGAAATCATACACAGTTAAATAGTAAAATGTCACTAATGTCCCTGAATGGTGGTTACTTCTGAGCCTCCCTGTATGCTGAAACTGAGATCCGGTAGACTACTCAATGGTGTTATATAACAAAGACCCGAGTTGCAAGGTCTTGTTAATTTCCATTATGGAAAAATAGTTATTTTTCAAGGTTTAGTTTTTGCACAAACATTTGATGATAATTTCTACCGCAACATCTGTTACAGATAGGCATATGGAATCATCAGAAGTTATGTGATACTCCAGGTTAGATTTTTTTTCATTGTGGAAGTAAAAGTCAGTATAAATAACATCATTTATCTAATTGAATCATAATCATTAGGTACTAAAAATCAATAATTTTACTTTCTATAAGTAATTAAAGCTAAATCTTATCATGAATTATGTACACAAATTTTAGGTGAAAATTATCAATTTATTTCATAATTACACCTTTTTCAAAAGAAAGTTAAATAAAATTCAAGAGTGTAATAATATATCTGCTTACTTTCTTCTGTTCTGTCCACCTCCTGCTAAAATGGTTGCTATTCTGATAAAGATGTTGATGGTATCCAGATAGATTCCAATAGAACTGAAAAAGTAAAAATGATTAATGAACCTAATAAGCTGTGAAGAAAGGAAAATCTCCAACTCTAATAAGCTGTATTGGCAACAAAATTTCGCGAAAAAACATGTTGTTAACCCTTAATTACTCGCGCTGGTGTATTTTGTACCATTGAACGTAGAATTTTTTTTGTGGCTCTAGACTCCCACCTAACCTATGTCTAACATGTCTGGGATGTGACAGATCAGTTTTGTGTTTGCTGTCGCCGCTAGATGGCGTTAACTGAAATGTTAGCAAACTTTTCAGTTTTTTTTAAACAACTGTAATGGTATATTAATTTTTATATGTTTTGGAAGAGGATACATTTCTCTATAATTTAATGAAAATAATTTATCATCTTCCTTTTTTTGAACCGTTGATATTGAACAAAATATAATTTCATTACATTAAAAAATGGCACGCCACTGTTTTTTATTGAAATAAAAATCTGTTTTTCAATCTCTTATTAGTTGCTAACAAAAAGAACCCCTTGACTTTTTTCGTTAGACGAACGGTTTTGGATTGAAAAAATAAAATAGGTTTACATGGGGCGCCCATATCTAATATAATTTCGAACAGGACAGGATATTTTTTTCTCGGTCCTATAGACCGACATGGCAGTCAACGTGTTAAAAAATACGGGGTGTTAATTTTTTTTATTTATTTGCAGAAACAATGATCATATTTGAATTTAGCATGTATACCACATTTTATCCATTTCTTGCGTCTCTGGCTGAAGATATTCAAAAAAACCCAATTCGAAATTCAACACCCCGTTTTACTTATTTCAATGTCCTCTATTGTGTGGCCCTATGCAATTGATGTAGACACTTACGCATTTATGGGATCGTAGGGCTTGACTCCATACAAGCCGGGACTGGTCGGATACTGCTCCGCCTGAGCAATGATCCGCTGGGTGTCGTGCAGCAGGAAAGCGGAGAACAGCAACAGCCCGCCGTACAAGCTCACCGAATAGAGGCCAGCGCCGATGGCAGTCGTCGGAGGTAGGAACATCGTGCCGATCGACGAGACGAAGACCACGCCCAGTCCCATGGCCAGAGGACCGCCCATATAGAGGAACTTTTCGCTGGGGGCACATACCTGAAATACCAACACGCACATTTATTAACCCTTCAGTGGTGACGCAATGGTCTCAGAGACCGTAGGCAACCATTTCCACCAATAAAATTCGTTGTGGGGGGGGGGGTCTTCACGCTGACGCGCCGTAAGTGTATCCGAGATGGGTCAATAAGGGTTAGTGTGTATTGGCGATTTGAATCGATCAGTAGTTTTGCGTTAGCCATTGTTTACGGTCACCTAAACCGGTGTCACTACTGGTGTTACCATAAACTTTTTGACGTAATTTGCTTGGAATTGAATAATTTTATCTACATTTCTCTCCTATTAGTGCGATGTCAACATATGAAGCAGAACAAGAAAGACTTGAGAGCCTAATGAATACAGTTTTCCATGATGAAAATGAAGAAATGTTATCTGAAGATGGAAATGAAGAACAAGACGAAGACCGCGTGGAAGTGGATGAAGATTCGTCTGATACTGAACAAGAATTTGAGGAGGTAGATTCAGATGAACGTACTGTTCCTTTCCTTGGAAAAGACAAAAAAGCAACATGGAAGAAACATCATAATCCATCAAATTATAAAACTAGGAGTGAGAATATAATAAAAATCAAGATTCCTTCTGTAAGACGGAAATTGCGAAATTTTCAAACGCCGCTGGAAATTTGGCGCTCATTTTTTGATGACGATGTCATAAACCTCACTGCGACTCATACCAATGAAAATTTGGAATCTGTAAAAATACGGTAGAGAAACCTATACCAGAGAAACTGATTAAGTCGAAATTGAGGCTCTATTAGGATTGCTGCTTCTGGCTGGAGTAAAAAAATGCAACCACCTGAATGCTGAAGACCTTTTCCAAACGAATGGTACTGGTCCAGAATGGTTTAGAACCACTATGTCTCTTCAAAGATTTCGGGTGCTGATTCGTTACATTCGTTTTGATGACATACAAGACAGAGAAGAGCGTCGTAAAACAGATAAATTATCTCCAATTAGAACAGTGTTCGACAAATTTGTAAACAACTCTAGACAAAATTACAATATTTTGTGATATGTTACAGTTGATCAGAAATTAAAAGCTTTCAGGGGCCATTGTTCATTCCGGCAGTATATGCCTCTAAACTCAACAAATATGGGATCAAAATTTTCGCTTTGTGTGATGCCAAAATGTTTTACACACATAATTTGGAAGTTTACGTTGGTACTCAACCAGAAGGACTGTATTATCAGGAAAATAGTGGAATGGCGATTGTACAGCGATTATGCGAGCCTATCTATGCTTCTAGACGTAGGGTATGTTCCGTTAATCAACCGGAGTTACCGATGCTTTCAGGGTCGGTACCAACAATTTTGACAGTGGTTATCTACTGGTGACTACGTTGTGGCTTATTTACGGAATGCCAATGAACTCAATATAACATTGAGTTCATTGCGGAATGTCAGTCATTTGCCAAATTATAGTTTTGATCGTTATTTTAAAAATTCATGCTCTGCCAGTATTTGATTTTCAATTATGGAACCCATAAGTATCTAATTCTTGTGCACAGTAAGCACAAGCAACGCATAAGTGTCCTAAAAATTAGAAAAAAAGTCATCAAACTAAAAATATATCGAATATTCTTAATTTATTTCAGTGAATGAATCCATCGGAACTCAACGCAATAATAAAAAATAAATAATTTGTAAATCAAAAAATCAAACCGAAAACTAAAACAAATCAACGTCAACTCAAATTCACCGAACTTACCAGATAAAATCCACGGTCGTTCTGGTGACAGTGAATCTACCGCTTTTTTCAGCAACCGAGTTCCGTAAATACCCTTTTTGCAGGAACCAACCGAACATTTCATATTTACGGAACGGGAAACTACTAACCGACATAACCAAGTTGATTTACGGAACATACCCGTAATGTTACAACGGTTAGATGGTTTACTAGCATTCCATTAGCTGAATTTTAACTGCAACAAGGTCTATCAACCATAGAAGAGAGTAACCACCCGAATTTGTTCAACGTAATTCTCGACCCATTGGAAGCAGCATGTTCGGATTCAAGGGTAAATGTTTTTTAGTGCCTCACATCCCCAAAAAAATAAAAACGTCCTATTGATTTCAACCTGTCACAATGACGATGAAATCTGTGCAGAAACTAGCAAGCCGGAGATTATTGTAGATTATAATCATACTAAAGCGGAAGTGGATGTAGTCGACCAACTTTCAGCAAACTATAACAGTGCAAGGCCAAGAAGACGCTGGCAAATGGTTGTATTTTATAGTTTATCAAACATATCTGGCATAAATTCTCAAGTGGTATATGTTGCAAACACTACAGAGAAGATTCTGAGAAGAAAATTTCTTGGAGGTTTGGCATTCAGTCTAATTGAACCCCACCTATGAGTTCGAATTCAATTGACCACTCTGCCAAAAGCCATTCGCATCCGTATTTCCGATATTTGTAACATACCACTACCGGAAGAAGAGATACAACAGGAGAGAAGACTTGTGGGAATGTGGTTATAAGAAGAATCGTAAAACAAAGTATTGTTGCAGAAAGTGCAATAAGTTTTTGTGTTTGGAACTGTCGGTGTTGTTTGCAATAATTGTTCCCGTTTTCTAAACACAGCTCAATAACATGTTTTCTTTATACTTAAAAATCTTGAGAAATACATTCTTTCCGATTTGTTTTTCTTTTCTTTTGATAGCAATAAATTTCATAAATTCTGAAAAACATTCGAGAAATTCATATATTGTCTATTAGACCGGCGTCACCACTCGTGTTATACTTTTTTGCGTCACCACTGATAAAATTATTCGTTTTTGTGCTCATTTTTTGATCGGAAAATGTGCACGAAAATGACATTTTGATGACACTTTTTGACACGTTATTTCCATCAAATTTCTGAAAAATTATGAGGAAAAAGTGGTCACATAACAGAGTTGTTTTCAAGTCATTTCAAAGTCATTTTCAAGTCATTTTCTCGTTTTCCTATAAGAAAAACATGGGGCGATGATGGAACGTGATTGAAAATTATGAGAAAAAAATGGACACTTGATAAATGGAAAAGAAATGAGAAAAAATTATTCATTTAGGTCTTGTTTATGTGACGTGATTTTGAGACGTTTTTGCATATAAATGGTGTCATATTTTGCTCAAGAAATTAGGTAATAGGCGAGTGGACTTTCTTTTTATTTCTTAATATAATCATCAATTTTTTTCAATTTCTTTTTTTTTTCTTTTTAATTTTTCGGTCGATTTGTAGGTGCTAAAACCATCAATAATGCCACGGTAATATTCAAACGAAAAGAACTGTACCGCGGGTGAAAACTGACGTTACGATTTAGTAAGTAGGGGCAGACCGTAGTACAGTTGCCATGTGAATTACGATTGGGACCTTAAGAAATATTAGTTATTCAAACATTCATAAATTCTCGATTATGTATTGGTAATATTCTTATTTAGCAATACAAAATCAATGGGCGTGTACACCTCAGTAGTACTTACAACTCAAACCATGTTTATAATGATCCTTTTATACATAAATAATGATTGACGACATAATTCGATCGAAAAATCATCTGGAATGTTTTATTTTTGGACATAAATAATAGTACCTTCTGAAAACGGACCCTCTTATGACGTAGAAACCTCATCTCGCCTGTGGAACCAATGAGCGTGACCCATGTGTGACACTTATCACTATTGCCGTATCACCCAAACAAAATATCCGAGAGATCGAAATCGATATTGAAATATCTTTTGATATCCACTACCACTACTGCAGAAAAATATATTCAAGTTGTCGATTGTAGGTTGAATCATTGGAATATGAACAATCTCTAGACAACGTAATGTCTCAATCTCAAAACCATTTGCACCATTACAATTTCACAATAATCCAATACATTTAATAAACGCAGCAACATTGCTTTGTTGACCCGTTTTACATGGAGCTGCATTTGCATCGAGTCTCGAATTCCGATTCCGAAGTTATTTATGTCGTCTAAAATGAGAAGAGAAGACACGAAATGAAATTAACCTCCAAATCTTGCTATATATTATATTGATATATTGAATATAAACATGAACGTTGAATCAGGATTTGTAAAAGGCTCTTCAGATAATCTACCAAAAATTGATTTGGAAATGGTTAATGATTTTTATGTCTCTAACATACAGTTTCTCAGTGCTGAAGTGAGGAATAAAAAATCTGAAAGGTTTGTTCCACAATATTCATTCAATTTTCATTGCTTGTATCTATTATAGTTGTATTGGAAAATTGTTCACCTGAAAGGATATTTAACATCAGAATACCCATCATATGGAGAATCCTCATTAAATCAGTCACTGATTGATATGTTTACCTATGCAACAATATGATCAATTGGTATGAAACAATGTATGGTTATTCCCTAGACTAGATACTGCTTGCATCTCCCCCTGAATGTTCTTCTAGGAGATGGATCATTTATTTTTCATGCAATTTTCCAATGAATTTCTGCAAAGCAAAACTACTACAATATTGTGTTTACCCAGTGAGGGGGCCAGATTTGTTCCCAAAATTCCCAGCTAAATGATGTTTTTATAATTGCAATTAGACACAAAACATTTCTTAATCATACTTTTGTCGAAATATTTCAATTTAATATTCGAAAGTTTCGCGATTTGCAAAAAGTTAATATAGGTTAGAATTGATCTTCTTCTTGTTCTTATTATCTTTGTCCCAAAAATCAACTTGCCGATTCACCAATCTTGGTGGTTTGTCAGAAATCATGTATCATTCATCTCTGTCTGGAATAGTCTTGTTTCAGTATTAGGGTTTTGACGTCACATCATCGCCTCGTTTTCAGAGGTCCAAAAAATCGGGGATTTCAATATTTTTTTATAAAACGTAGGGAGCTCACAGCAAGAAACGGTTTGCGGTGGTGAGCTAGTTTGGGTGAGTTCTATCGAATTATGAAATAAAATTTTTTTGTGATATAAGCCCATTGTCTCAAAATGTTCCCTTATGATTTGTGGCTTATTGCTTATGCTACATTTGTGTTAATAGTAATTATATTAATTCACATTAGAGGACATTTCAAACGGTGAACGTGACAACACGGCGCGCACGACTTGTGGGCATGGTCTTGTCCCTTCTCAGCATTCACCACAATGTTGCCAAGTCTCCAACATTTACATGATATTTTGTTATAGACTAATAATCAAATAGAGGTGAACAATATCGTTGTTTGAGACAAAAAACTATTGCTTACCGTGATTATTCAAAAACAAGTTATCCATCCCGAGAATAACGAATGAAATACAGATCAAGCAAGTATGTGAATCTTGAAGCCTTCCCTGATCGAAACAAAAATACTTAACTGAGATGTTTATAATTCATATACTTAACCATAATAAGGTGTATTTATATTAGGGATCGACCGATATAGAAATTTTAGCCGATACCGAAAATCGGCCGATACCGATATTTCAAATACCGATATACCGATATATCGGTCTATCGGCCGTTAACAAGTTTTCTCTGAAGCTGGTAATATTTATGATGCAAAACGTAGCAGGCTAACTCCTGATAGGGCAGAAAGCTTATTGTTTTTGCATCACAACCTACCAAAACTAAATTATCAGTATTAATCAGTTATTTTTGTATTTTAGTAAGGTGAAATAATTTTACCTTACAGTTGGAATCCGCATAGGGTTTTATTTTATTAATTTTCAATTACTAGTCAAAGAATTTAGTTGATTTTACGTTACATACTTTTTATTGGTAGTAAAGATATATTTTTGATGGAAGTGTATTTTTTTCATTCATTTTTCAAATTGATTTTGTTTCCCAATAGAAAAATATATCGGTCTATCGGTTTTTGATATCGGCCGATACGATAATCGGCCAATGAGGCCGATATCACCGATAGGCCGATATAAATATCGGTATCGGTCGATCCCTAATTTATATCTCCAGCATGGGTATGAAATGCCAAATCTACCGAAATCGGAAACGAATCAGGTATGCGTCCCAACCCAAATATTCAACCGTAACAATGCTGTTTATTCTTGATGACGTCTAGTACATCCTTTTTAGTTCTTAGGAGCTAAAGTTCAACTTCAGCTCCTAGGAACTAAAGTTCAACTTTAGCTCCTAGGAACCAAATATGTTGCCTAGCAACATACCTATTTTTGTGTCAATAATAGAAACGTCAATTCAAGAGCTAATTTTGGTATTAAAATGGACGACTTTTTTGTAGGTTGCGGAAAAACAATTATTACTACGACTTACCGCAATGGTGCTGAGACCGCCGACTACCCCGGCAGTGTACCAAGCGGCGCGGACCAGCAGCGGCCCCCCGAGGAAGCACATGGGCGCCAGCATGGCCCCTATGGTGCCGGTGTGCAGCAGCCAGGCCATCTGCTTGGCGCCGAAACCCTCCTTGTACTCGATGCTCTGGGCGAGCATGCCAGTGCCCATTATGGCTGCCAGACTGATGGCCATACCCTACACACATAGTAGTTGCGTTTTATTTGTTTTATTCTGGTAGCGGTGGTGGGAACAGAATGACTTTTACAAATAAAACGAGAAACTTCATGACATTGCATGGGAGGATTCACATAAGAGGTTATATTTATACAGGGTGAGTCAATTATGTGTTCTCCTTCTATATTAGCCAAACCGTCAGATATAAAGAAAAAATTCGAATACAACAGTTATAGGGTTTCTTGGGAACTATCGCCTGAAATTATTTTTATATCTATAGGGTGTTCGAATTCCAAGATATCGGTTGATGATGGGTATTTTCGAATGAATGTATATTATTACATGTTAAGATTCTCCCTAGATGTATCGCACTTGGGCACTAGCTGGAATGTTTATACAGGGTGTTCCGAAACTATTGTGCCAAAATGTAAGGGTGGGTAGATCTCGCCAAAACAAACGTTTTTTATTTATCAACCCATAGGCGCATGCACCTTATTTCGGTACCAATAAGTGTCACAAGAAAAAAGTTTAACATATGTGCATACTCAAATAATATCGATATTGAGTGCCCAGCTCTACCGATTTTGACGTATGTACATACATAAATAAATAATATCGATATTGAGTGCTCAGCTCTACCGATTTTGACGATCGAGACCAATCGCTGCGCTCCCGACACTCGTATTGCGTAGACTTCTCATTTATTATTGCGTCGTGGCAATGTGTAAAACCTAACTCAATCTAAATTGTAGTGTTTTTTTTATAAACTCTCCCATATATTGCTTGTGATTTCATGTCATTTACTAACACGGTTTCCGGTACAAACACGTTTCCCCGTGTCCGAGGTTGGATACCACTGCGCGGACCTTAATGCGCTATTATCACTGAACGCATGCGCATGCGCCTATGGGTTAATAAGTGAAAAACGTTTGTTTTGGCGAGATCTACCAACCCTTGAATTTTGGCACAATAGTTTCGGAACAGCCTGTAGAGATATAGGGTGTTCAAAATCTATATTTTTCAACTTCGTGATTTTTTGTGTTATAACAATTTATCATTGGTCGAAACGGCTTACATGTCCCTATCTCAACTTTTGATTCACCATCTACTGACACTTAATTGAAACAAATACAGGGTGGTTCAAAATTTCGAGATTTCTGATCACCCTGTATCTATTCCAATGAAATTTCAGTAGATAGTAAACCAAACGTTGAGATAGGGACATGTGAGCCGTTTCGACCAATAATGAATAGTTCTGACACAAAAAAATCCCAAATTTGAAAATTTTCGATTCTGAACACCCTATATCTCTGTAATCATTTCCGCTAGACCCCATGTGTGATGCATTGATGAAATCAGCTCTTCAGGAAAAATTTTGAAATGCAATAATATACAGGGTGTCCCATTCAAAAACACCCATCATCAGCTGATATCTTGGAATTCGAACATCCCATAGATATGAAAATAATTTTAGGTGATAGCTATCATAAAATTCTATAACTGTTGTATTCGAATTTTTTTTATATATACTTGACGGTTTGGCTAATATCGAAGGAGAACACACTATTGACTCACCCTGTATATTGGGGCTTCAAATAATTTGAAAATCATCATACTAGAGTTAAGAATCTAGAAAATGAATCAACTAATATTTGGAGCAGTGATTGTGGTGATTAAAGAAACTTTTCTGATATTGAAAGAATTCATTTTATCTTGAAATGAACATATTATCAAACCTGTCTTACTTGAAAGAATCATGGACTAGTGAAACTCACGATGAAAATGTCTTCTAAATGTCTTTTACTTTAAAAAAATGTCGTTTTTCTTCAATTTAATTTTATTTCTTGGCACCTGTCAACAGTCATTCACGCCATTCCTTGTAGTGAGACGGAATGAAAAGTAGCAACCGGAATCGAAAAAGTTGCAAATAAAACGACACATTAAACTGATACCGGTGGCGGAATCGGATAAATAAAACGGAACTAGTGATTCAACTAGGAAAAAGGCAAATACTCAAAGTGGAATGCAATGGTCACAAATAAAGAGAAACTCAAGACATTACCACACTAGTTCATAAAATGAACGAAAATGGTAGATAACGAAATAAAAACAACTACTTTCCTGGCTATATGCCACACAGAATATTGGATTACAACCTCCCGAAATCTATGCAATAATTCGTATAGACTACTATAGACGAACAAAATCGCAAGGGTTCCTTCCTAAACGCCGAGCTGCGCCTAAGTGGTTCAGGAACGCGTGACTACCTGCAGACCGGGTTCGAGCTGTTGGCTCTCATCAATACAGGGCTGTCCCAGATAGCTCCTTGACCGCTATCTCAGCATTTATACTACACGAGGCGTTCAACGTCCGAGAAATGAAAACGCTCCAAAACAAGATCCCATTTCAGGTGAAATGGGAGTGGCTGGTTGCCCGACTGTTGTATTTTCAACTAGGAAAAAGCCAAACACTCAAAGTGGAATGCAATGGTCACAAATAGAGAGAAACTCAAGTCATTACCACACTAGTTCATAAAATGAACGAAAATGGTAGATAACGAGAGAAAAACAAATACTTTCCTGGCTATGAGTGATTTTTAGTGTAGTGAAGTGTGTAGTGATTGTTTATTATTCAAGTTACTCCCACAATTTATTATCATTTAGTTTAGGTATATTCGTTAATACTGGGTGTTATTTAAATGTGTGATTCTAAGACGAAAAGTTCATATAGACATAGGTCCATACAAGATACAGGGAATTAAAGTTTAACCAACAACAGGCTGGATACAATCCATGCTCAGGAGTAGAAGAATAAAAGCGACACTGGGAAGCAGCTCGGTAACTGCACAGGCCACTAGAGGTTGCCCCCAAGGAGGGGTACTGTCTCCTCTTTTATGGTCCATAGTTGTCGATAACCTACTCAACAAACTAAGCACCGCTGGCTTAGATATTCAAGGCTATGCAGATGACATTGTCATAATAATAAGAGGCAAGCATGATAGGATTTTATCAAACCTAATGCAGACTGCACTCAACTTGCTGAGACTGGTGCTTTCAGGAGGGCTTGAATGTCAACCCAAGCAAAACGGTCATCGTTCCATTCACCAAAAGAAGGAAGATCAAGTTAAAGGAACCCATTATGGATGGGACGCCTATCAATTTCTCCGAAGAGGTCAAATATCTAAGAGTAATCCTAGACAAGAAACTCACGTGGAACCAACACTTGACCAAAATCGTCAATAGGGCAATTTCAGCTCTCTGGATATGCCGAAAGATGTTTGGCCAAACGTGGGGTCTTAAACCAAATATAAACTACTGGTCTTATCTCACGGTGGTCAGACCCATGGTCACATACGGTCCTCTAGTGTGGTGGACCAAAAGTAAGGAAAAAACAGCTCAACTTAAGCTGCAAAAAATCCAGAGACTCGCGTGTCTTGGGATCACAGGGGCTATGCGTACGTGCCCTACTGCAGCAATGGAAGCTATGCTTGACCTACTACCCTTGCATATTTTTATCAAAAGGACTGCAGCTCACAGTGCATACAGACTGAACTCCACTGAATTGGCCAGACCAGGTGATGTCACATGGTCATTCTACAAGAAGTACAAATGGAATCTGCAACCAAACCATCGGACATAATGCCAGCCAGGCTCAGTTTCGATCATACCTTTTAAGTGGTTATAAAAAGCCGCCCTAGGTACGGTTCCGCTGAGCCTCAGCTGGACAGAGGGTCCCTTGTTTGGTACACCGATGGTTAGAAAATGGAAGAAGGGGTAGGCGCGGGTGTATATGGACCCGGATGTAGGCTATTTGAAGCCTTAGGTCACTCCCCCACCATCTTCCAAGCTGAAATACATGCCATCAACCTTTGCGCCCGTGCCTGAGCAAAGGCCTGAGGGGTGCCAACATATATATCTGCTCAGACAGCCAAGCCGCACTAAAAGCCCTAAAATCATTCGTTTTCACATCAAAGATTACATGGGACTGCTTTGAAACACTCATGCAACTGGGAAAGGGCAACAAAGTCACACTTATGTGGGTTCCAGGGCATGAAGGAATCATAGGAAATGAGGCAACTGATCGCCTTGCAAAAAAAGGTGCAGCATCTGCACTTTCTGGTCCTGAGCCTTTTTGTGGGATAAGCAAATGTCACCTAAAGGGAGAACTCGGGAAATGGGAAGAAATTGAAAAGTCCTCCTACTGGAGAGCAACTCCAGGTCAACGACAAGCGAAAAGGTTCATCAACCATTCGCAGAACCGAGCCAAAGAGCTACTCAGCCTCAGCAAACCAGAGCTAAAGCTTATCACAGGCTTTTTCACAGGACACGGCCCTCTGAGGTACCACCTCAAAAAGATGGGTCTGGCGGAGACTGACACTTGCCGCTTTTGTAACAATGCGACCGAAACCGCGGAACACATACTTTGCTCATGTGAAGTATTAGTCCGCCAAAGGCTGAACCACCTAGAACAGGTCTATCTCACCCCTGCTGAAGTGGAAAAGTCAACCTTCAGGAAAATCGTAGGCTTCATCAGAAGTCTAGGGTTAGAGGACCAAAACTAGATAGGGGTAATCACAATCGATCTTTTAGGTCGCAGTGATCGAGAGGTCTCCCAGCCTATACGACCCATCTACAATCTACAATCTACAAAGTTTAAATAAAAAATCTTTTTTTATTATTATTTCTCGAAATTATGTTTTCCAATGGTGGACTTCACTCCAAGTTGGCAACCTGAAAACCACTACCAATGTATATGCAACATTATGGAAGTTTTATTATTCAAATGGTTTTATTTTGATGAAATCTCATTGTAGGATTGTTCTCAGCTCACTTAAAGAAGTTATTCAGAAGAAAAAATATATTTTTTCTGTGACGGGAAAAATATTTGGCATTTCATCTCTGTTGGCAGGTTATAAAATGTCACTTTCATAAATTACTTTTTTCCCGTGGGAAAAAAGTGAGTACTTTTTCCCCGGATATATATCACATATATACACACTGTTGATGGCTTTTGTAGTGCTA